GGAAGCTGGGGTCAAGAGACACGAGTAGTCAGAGTGCATTCACTGTCACAGCTGTGCTTCAACATCGGAGGACCAGCCACAAGACGGTCATCAGCAGGACTTCCGACTGTGTGTGTGTGTGTGTTTGCGTTCATGTCATGTTGACTGTCAAGTTCCACAAACACCTGACGTTCACAGGATCCCTGATGGGAGCTGCAACAATGGGGTCGTGACCGTGACCTCCAGCAAAAGTCGGTCGCCTGTTTTTTCTGTCGTGTCGTCGTTTGCGACAGCGCTTGCGGGACCGACAGTCGCAGAAGACGGGGCAGCTTCGGTTTAGATTTGTTTGGAATAAGTTAAGTCAGTCAGTCAAGTCTTAATATACCGACTTAGTCAATGAAACTATGCAACACTTCTCATTGAGTTGCCATTAATGGACACATTCAGAATTCAGCTCTTCAAATGAGAACCTACCATGGCCGGTCCCGTCTTCAGCTCGAATCGACTCGGATCAGAGCAGAAACCGACGGTCGTGCAATGATGGCAAAACAAGTGCAGCTCATGCATCATGGGTGCCACCTCATTTGTTTACAGCAATGATGCATTTTCCCGTGGACAGGCTTTCGGCAACATCTTCATGACCTGCCACATCCCTGGATGCAGTGGGTGTTCCGGTATTTACCTGTCTACTTTTTGCTCCAAGGCGAGAGCTTCACATGGGGCCGGTCAGTGTCCCGCATGAGGCGGATTCGTGAGGTGTAATCATAAATAAATCAGACCGATGGACAGACCACCGACGTGGCAGGCCGGCCCGGCGACGAGTCGGTCGTCCAGCACTAAGTCAACGTTTCATCTGAGGATCACAGAGCCAAGTCAAGATGCATTGTTTGGCACCTTGAGCCAGGCTAGCCGAGGCCATCGGGGGATCTCGTCAAAATGACAAGATCCCCCAATGGCCTCGGCTGAGCGACGGTCTGACACAGTCCAGGAGGACTGCTGGGTTTGATGCTTTGATTCACAAAGGTTCCAGTGCAGTTCACGCTTGTCCTTTTTAGAAATAATAGACAGAGCCCTATAAGTTTACCTATATCCCTTAGTAGGAATTAATTATTCAAGAAGGTCTACTAGCCGGTCTGTTCTGTTTATTCTTTCTGGGGGAAACCATGAACATGGATAATGCTGGTGCAGTTCAGGTGCAGTTGAGGTGCAGTTCAGGTGCAGTTCAGCGTTCGTGCTATTATAGATTGGTGCAGTTCAGGTGCAGTTCAGGTGCAGTTCAGGTGTGGTGATGCTGCACAACCATATGTGAGGTATACAAATCATAAAATAGTAAAAGGTATGCTGTATTACACAAAAAAGACACGAATGAACTTACCAGGATCTCTGGTCTGGTCAGAGTAAGACTACTTGGCCGGTCCCTGCCCATAGCATCACACAGTTTTGGCTTAAATACATCGGCTCTAGTGATAGTGACAGTCACTATCTTGCAACATATATATATATATATTTAAGCCAAGGTGCTCCGATTGATCCATAAAGCTTCTCTGCCACATCTTGGCGACACCTGGTCAGGAAGTGTTGCCGGTCGAGCTCCTCGGGTGCTCTGGGAGGCATAGACCTGGATTGAAATTTTCAGTCCAGGTCTATCACCTCCCAGACCACCCAATCTAAATCTTCATGGCTCAGGGTACAGGCCTCAGTGTCGGTCAGCATTCAATAATGCTGGACACTGCTGTAATGATTGACTTAGCAACACCTGGTCAGGAAGTGTTGCCGGTCGAGGAGAGCTATCGACAGGTGTCCTCAACCCTTCGTCGGCACCGCTCAGCCAGTCGACTACGACTGGCTGAGTGGCGCCGACGAAGGGTTGAGGAGCTCCTTGGATGCTCTGGGAGGTCGGGCTCCTGTAGCAGTAACAGGTCCATGCCAATTTGAGATCCCAGTCACCTTAAGTATTGAGGTCCAGGCAGAAGCAGATCTACTTTCTTTGCCGGTGGTGTTCTCAGACACATGCGTGGGCAGTGTACTTTCGAAAGTGTTATGTGTGTGTTCGCTCAAGGTCTATCACCTCCCAGACCACCCAATGTAAATCTTCATGGCTCAGGGTACAGGCCTCAGTGTCGATCAGCATTCAATAATGCTGGACACTGCTGTAATGATTGACTTAGCAACACCTGGTCAGGAAGTGTTGCCGGTCGAGGAGAGCTACCGACAGGTGTCCTCAACCCTTCGTCGGCACCGCTCAGCCAGTCGAACTACGACTGGCTGAGTGGCGCCGACGAAGGGTTGAGGAGCTCCTTGGATGCTCTGGGAGGTCGGGCTCCTGTAGCAGTAACAGGTCCATGCCAATTTGAGATCCCAGTCACCTTAAGTATTGAGGTCCAGACAGAAGCAGATCTACTTTCCTTGCCGGTGGTGTTCTCAGACACATGCGTGGGCAGCGTGCTTTGGATACTGTAACTAGCTATGACTTCATGATTCATATTTGCCAAGGTCGGTCGCCTACCATCACCATCTGGTCAGACACCATAGAACTGGACTCCAGCTCTATGATGTCTGATCAGCGGGTGCCGGTTGGCCTGGTCCTCATTGGTTACCTGCAGTTGTTGGGCACAGTCACAGTCGGTCTATGTCTATGATGCCTGCCATGCCACAAAGCAATTTCAGCTTCACGAGACTTGCCGGCCCCACTCCCCGTCGCTATGGCCAAGACAGGTTATGTCGGACTGTCGGTCGACCAGTGGGAGCACTGGCTCTGGAACCCAGTTCCCGACGTCCAGGCCTATTTCTCCCCATCGGTCGCTGTCTATAAGGCTATCGCTGGTGTCGGTCGCAGGTGCCTTGCTGCTGTGTTTCAGTTCATTTATCATGACCAGCGAGGATGCAGTAGTGTAGGTCGTCCTTAGTTCTGAACTGCCCGGTCGGTCAGGATGCAATACCAGCTTTCCGACACGGATCCCATTCCGGGGCCGATGTACCAACGGTCGAAGCACAAGGAGCAGGCCCATCGTGTTTCGGCTGGGGGCACAATCATGTGTGTTACTGATAACGCCGGTCGGGAAGATGAGGTCAAACTTCTGTTGACCCGGTTCGTGGTCGTGCTGGAAGTGCAGGTCGATGAGTTCCAACTGGCTATGGAACAAGGGTCGGTCAGACCATGCACCAACGACGGCTTCGTCGTGAGGAACCTCGACTTGTCGGTCGAGAAGCACCTCAAAGTCACACGCATGGACGCCCGCCTCGAGGTGGAGGCGTTGCCAAGTGACGTGCCGGTCGACAAGCCTGCTTTCGTGTTCTACAAGATCTCCGATGATGTGACGGAGCTGTCGGTCGTGAAGAAGCTGCTGGCCAACAGCATGAACAAGCCCCGAGGGCAAAAGCGGCCTTCCTCCACAGTCGGTCGGGGTGGCACTGGATATATGTATTTCAGTAACCCGACGAAGGCTGCGCTGATGTGTTGGCTGGCAGGTGGCGGCACGGCGGTCGATGTGCGGCTGAGCTACTATGGAGTGGGCATGCTTCCAGCTGGACTCCTTCACTATGATGAAAGCATGTCGCCGGTCTGTGTGCTTTGGTGGCATTCGATTCAGTGATGTTGCAGTTGCATGATTTCTAATCCTGCAGTTGCAATCTACAGCATAAGCTGTCTGCTCAGGACTACTACTACGCGCCGACGCTTCCCCAGATGGGCGTTGAGTCGGTCGCCGCGGAGTACAAGGTCATGGTTCAGTTCAGCAACAAGGTGCCGGTCGGTGACTTCGTGAAGTTAAAGAACCTCGAGACGCTGAAAGAATACATGTACCAGAACGATAAAGAGTTGGAGGAGCTGAACAGTCGGTCGTCAACTCTGCTCGCGATACAGAAGAAGCTGGTCGCAGAAATGGATGAGATGCTCGCCAAAGAGTCGGTCGTGGATCTGGCGGGCAAGACAACGGTGTCGGTCGAGGATCTGGCGGGCAAGACAAAGCAGCCACTCGTCATGGAGTCGGTCGAGGAAGATGTTGCAGGCAAGACAAAGCAGCCGCTCGTCATGGACCAGGTCGCTGAGTCTAGCTGATGTCCACCACGCCGGTCGAGTCAAAGGCCTTTTTCCTCACTCTAGCAGGCAGGCTGGCCCTGGCAGTTGTCGGTCAAATAATGACAGACCATCATGATCATGACGATAGTGTTTTCTGAATGCCAGATGCAGCCTGTCCTGCCAGCTGTCGGCCATGCCATGTGTGCATAGAGCCACAGTCGTCTGTCGGTTTCAGCAGCCAGCGAGACATGTGTTTAAAATGTGAAGCACGTGAGAGGGCATGCCAGTCGACTTAGTGTTCGAGATTGAGTGCAGCATACCTGACTTTGTTTGTTACCTGTTGGTTCTGTCATGTAGTCAAGTTGTTGACTTGGTAGCACAATGCATGCCAGCCTGGCGGTCCATGGTGCATTCCAGCGCATGGCACATGCTTTGGAATCCACTCTGGGCTGCATTTGGTTCGGAACCCCCAGGATCGGTTGCTAAGGCTTGTAGCCCCAAGTTACCAGTTCAGACATCGGTCGACAGCCCGAGCCAGAGATGACCTCCAAGGTTGAATACATGCCTTCACTAAGTTGAACCCAAAGGATGCTTTGCTAAGGCTTGTGGTCCTATCTTGGGGGTTAAAGTCGGTCTAGTGCTGCATCGTCCTAGGTCGGTCCCACTCTGACACATATGTTGCAGCACCTTAGCCGGTCGTGCATGCTCTTCCAGTTGAACCAGCAGAATAGGTTGCTAAGCCTTGTGGGCCTATCTTGTGGGTTCAACATCGGCAGGCCGGTCGATGATCTTGGAAGCACATCTCTGAGTGTCGGTCGTGCCGTTGCCTACCTGGAGTTTGGGCTTACAAGCCTTAGCAACCGATCCTCGGGGTTCCGAACCAAGTCGGCCGGTCGAGCCATGTCCAAGAAAGCAGGCACTCCTGCTTACGCGCCGGTCTACGTGGAGAGCAAGCTCTTAAAGCTTGACGACGTGTCGGTCGCCCATGATTCCGGCCATCGGGACGTCGATGAGGATCGTGTCCTGGAGTTGTATGAGAAGGTGATTTTGGCCGGTCGTTGGGGCCAGGCTTCGTTGTCCCGACCGAAGCTGAGGCCAGTCGAAAAGTTTATTTTCTCGTGCTTGGTAGTTCACTCTTGGGTTTCGCAGGTATGATCCTGCTGGTCGTCCTATGGCCGCATCTGATGGCCGGTCGAAGCTGGCAGATGGCAAGCACTGTATCGCAGCGTTGAAGATACTTGACGACGTGTAGTTTGTCGGTCCAATTCCACGTTCTGGTGTGCACTGGTTTGTCAGCTGGTCAGAAAAGAGTCGGTCGAAGTCCACGGTTTTCATTTCCCTTAATTTTAAATTACTTTCTGACCGAGGAAAGCTGCTGAGACGGTCGCTCAGTCCGATGATGCAACGCAGCTCGAGTGGTACACAGGTGAGATCAAGGACATTCTGACGGTCGGAATGCGTTTTGATTGCATCAAATTCTCGGATGATGATGAGGCCAGGGATGTGCAGTATGACTAGACACTCATGACGGTCACTAGTTACTCCTGTGTCAGGCGGCGGTCAAGCTCTTCTACACCATGGCCCATGAGCAGGAGGCCAACAAGTTGCGGACGACGTCGGTCGAGCACAAGATCAAACTTGTGCGTGCTTATGTCGCCAAAGTTCCTGGCGGTCTGATAAAGGACAGTCGGTCGACCACCTGTTTTTGTTGCTGGCCCTGAGTCTCATCTGTCAGGACGCCGAGAACGCCATGGTGGAAATTTTGGGCAAGTCACGCCGGTCAACAATCCACAACTGGTGCAAAGCGACTGCAGTGTTAAAAGAGCCGGTCCTGATCAAGCTGAAGGAGAAGCCCGACCTGCCACAGGGACTTGTTTTCACGAACAAGTACTTCGTCGGTCAAGGAGAAGAGACACGTAACTCGGCGGCATGCCATGCTGTTAGGTTTCCCTGCATTGTTGGTCGCGGAATGCAGTTGGCTCAGGCTTCCTCCTGGAACCCGAGCAGCAGATTGCTGCTCTGCAGCTTTTCTATGACTTCTGTGACGGTCGCGGGACGGTCTCTTCCATACCGACCTTCATGTCTGACTTTTGTGCCCCAATGTTGAAGGCACAGTTGTGGTGTCAGTTGGTCATGAAGAAGTACTCGTCGGTCGTGAGCCGCCTACCAGCGTATGACCGCTGTCAGAAGATGCTGTGGAGTGAGCGTGGACGGTCGCGCATTTTGAGGCTTGCTAGCACTATGAACTATAACTGACATTCAGTGCCATGTCTCATTATTTTGGTGATGGGGTTGCCAAGGACGTGCATGCGTCTTGGCGTCGGTCTGTCTGGTGACCCGAAGATCGAGGGCAGTGGCATCCCTGAGTGTGTGTCGGTCCTCCAAGGGTTGAAGAATCTGGCCGCTGGTCGTGCAGTGGATGAAGCCGAAAGTGCTGTGGATGCGGCCAAAGCAACGGTCACAGAGCACAAGCTGGTCGTTGAGGGGGGAGACGACGAGTCTGGGATCTTGGCTGACGACATCACGATGGAGGCCCCACTGGTGGAGAAGGATCCTGTTCTTGAAAAAGCTGAGGAGCTCGGCTTGTCGGTCCGCTCCAACATTCATCTGTTTCATGACATGAAGACCTTTGGTGATGGCTTCGTCGGTCTATGCCGGGCGACGACCCGTGGCGGCATTTACATCGATGAGGCCACGTCGAAGGCCAAGATCATTTTGGGGGACATGGCAGAGTTGTGGAAGGTCGTCACGTCGGTCGTAGATCGGCAATACGTGTCCATGGGCATCTTCTGTGGAAAGCGCCACGACTTAGTGACGTTGGTCGTGAACCTTGGATGGCACAGATATCTTTCTAGACTTGTCGGTCGACTGCTGTGCTCAGCGTTGCTTCGGCTCAAGTCCAAAACGGCCGGTCGACCTTCATGGGTCGAATCAGTAACAAAAGCCTCGGGCTGAAGAGGGTGGCAGGGCCCTATGCCCGTTACTGTGCGACGGTCGCCAGGACAGGGACGGTCGACCCTCCATTGAAGCGCCTTCGAGTCAAAACCTTCTTGAAAAACTTAGATCAGAGCCGGTCGCGATGGAAGCAGATGTCAAAAAAGGAGAAACAACCCTTTGTGGACGCGGCGGTCAAGGATCACAGAAAGCACAACGCCCTCAAGAGGGAGCTCGCTCATCCTCCAGTGGAAGTCGACTCGCCGGTCAGAGACCCGAAGCCTGAGAATGATAGTGACCAGCAGCCACCGGTCGATGAGAACCTCGTCAATGAATTGAGGTTCTCCTTTGAAGGCATGGCACTTTCCAGTCGGTCGACCCTGGGACAAGGCGCCCATGGCACAGTTTACCGCTGTGAAAACTTGATGGGAACGGAGTTCGCAGTGAAGCATCTTGGCTATTCATTTTATTATTAAGGTTCATGCGATTGAACAATCATGAATGAATGAACGAATGATGTCTTTGTCGACTTTGGGTTTAGTGCTGCATCTTGTCATGTCGAGGTTGCCGGTCGGCAGCAGGGACGTGAAGAGGGAGCTAGACGTTCTCCTCAGTCTACGCCACCCAGCCATCCTGCATTGTTATGGGCCAGTCATGTCGGTCGACGGAGGTCTCGTGGGCCTTCTTTTGGAGTATGTGCCGGTGACATTGGACGCTTGGCTGAAGACGCAGCCCAAGGCCGCAAAGTGCCCACACAAATGGCATCTGATGGTCGATCTTGCACATGGACTCCAGTATCTGCACTGTCACAAGCTTGTGCACTGTGATGTGAAGCCACAGAACATACTTGTCGGTCCTGCCCCCCATGTTCGAGCCCGCTGGGCAGACTTCGGCCTCACTGAGCCGGTCGGGACAGCTGTCTATGGTGACGAGGTGTACTCTGCAGCGTACAGACCTCCGGAGCTTAGCGGGTCACAGGAACCCGGTCGTAGCTTTGCTGTAAGGGTGAGGTTGGCACCCACAGCTGATCTTTGGGCGGTCGGGTGTCTCTTGTTTGCGATCTTCACAACATCGACACTGTGTCATTTGTTTGTCACAGTGAAGGTGCTGTATGACATGTCCTTCATCAATTCCCGAATTGATAAGAACGTGCCGGTCGTCTCTGGCGCTCAAGAAGACATAAGAGCTTTCTTGAAAAAGCTGCCGAACGAGCGACAGCAGCTGAGGCTTTTCATTATTGCTGCAGAGGAGAAGTACAGACACCACGCTGGTCGTTGAACCGCCAGTCGTCGGGTGTCAAATTTCTGTGTGAAGGGGCATGCAGGAAGCCAAAAAAAGATTTAAAGCATCTGCAGTGGCAATCGTGGTCAGTGCAAGTTTTGGGGTGCGACAATCCAATTGGTCGGTCGATGCAACACTACAGCTAAGGAACCAGCTGCAGACGATGATCCCAAACCGTGAGGCGTACGTCATCACCTTCACTGCCGGTCCAGAACAGTCCCGGAATCGTCGACCGACTTACATGGTCTATTCACAGTCGGAGTTGTCGGTCTCTGCGAAGGAGGTGGTGCCGAGCCATGTGACTGTCAACAAATGCCGGTCATTTGCCTATGAGAAGTTACAGATGCGCTGCACCGACTACAATTGTGCCTTTGAATTAAATTAAAAGAATCCTTGAAACTAGACTAATGGCCCCACTGCCCACACTAACCCACACTCCTACTGAGGCAAGCTCAGGCCGTGCAAACCCATGACAGACATGCCGGCCCATCCCACAGAGGACCTTTGTGGGGGGCAGGGCGGCAGGTGCAGGTCAGGTGCAGTTCAGGTGCAGTTCAGGTGCAGTTCAGGTGATGAGGTTTTCTATATTGGTGCCATTCAGGTGCAGTTCAGGTGCAGTCCAGGTGCAGTTCAGGGTTTGATGTGGACGTCATCAATCACTTTACTGAATCTGGGAGGAGTTGCCGGTCAGTGACCAAGAGCAGCCAGAGGATAGCAAGACGTTGGACACCACAGAGGAAGCCGGTCCTGACACACAGGCGGTCGAAGCGTCCGTCGACAAGAAGTATCCTGTGGATTTGTGGTTGGTGGCCAAATGCTGGGATCACCATGCGTCGGTCGTGCGAGAAGTCTTCCGTGGTGATCAGTGCAGGTGGATGGCGGTCTCCACACGCACAGCCCATCCTTCCATCTTCGTTGGGGTCCAGTCGGTCGTCTCCACAGTCATAGGTATGGTTCGTGGGCCGGTCGAGCATCTTGCCGACAAAGCATGAAACGTGTGTCAACCAAAAGCTTTTCGCAGGAATGCATGTTAAGCTCAGGCACTCCATGGCACATGGCCGAGTCTTGCTCGACGACATGTGCACCGCCCTGAAACTGGATGAAGCTAGCCGGTCATTGAACTTGAAGCGCAAGGTGACAGACATCCCGTGTGTGCCGGTCTTTAACCCCTATGCAGCAGAGGGCTCAGTGTTCAAGCTGTTGGAGATTCCGGTCGAGAGCACCTGGCGAAATGGTGTTTTGGCTTGAGTTCTGACCTTCATGTCATGCATTGATCGATTATGATAGGACGTGTGCAATTCCGAACTGAGGTATCAACAAGTCGGTTGCCAACTACAATGACATGGAGAAGAAATGCAACGATCTCACACATGAGGAGCTGGTCAAGTATGACCTGGGATTGTCGGTCATCGACGGTCATGTTGCACTCATCACGACTGTCCCTAAAAAGGAGGGGGACTTGATATGCACATGCAGTGCTTTGCATTTCGACAACATGGCAAGCCTCTTGTCGGTCGTGAACTCCGACAAAGTGAACCTCGCCAAGAATCCTGTGCTCAGGACGGACTGCGTCGGTTTGACAGAGGATCGCTCCTCGTCGGTCTGGTCACTGTTAATTGGGGCTGCTAGCCACGTCGCCCCGCTCAGTAAAGCCGCAAAGCGAGCAAACGCGGCCTTCAACTTTGACATCAGCCAGGGCGCCTCTGACGGTCTCATCGCATTGGTCGTCAAGACACGGAATGGGTGTGGCATTGCTGCAAAGTCGGTCGTGTCGGTCGACCTGGGTCCAGACTATGATCCGCCACCTGGCTGCGATAGTTAGGTTGCTGTCGAGTCCATTGCTTGCTGATGCAGCACGTTTATTATTACTCTGACAGGTCACAAGCCACGCCGGTCGAGCTCGCTGCCAGCAAGAAGCAGTTCATGGATAAGTGGTTTCAGGAGCCTGTGAATGAGCCGCCGGTCAAGGAAGAGACAACAGTGGAGCCAGCTGGCAAAAAACCCCGAACCTCAGAGGCCAAGGCCAAGCCTTCGCCGGTCGCACCGGCTCCGGTCACTCCGGCTCCCGCTACTGGTCCAGTGCCGGTCGACAAGCCAGCCCCGTCTGCTGCAGCTGAGACTTCGCCGCCGGTCGTCAAAGCTGATGTAACAGCCCCGGAGCCGGAGCTGAACCCTGCGTCGGTCGCCAATTTCATCGTGGGTGATGCCACGTTTCGCTTGGACTTGCAGAACTTGAGGATCCTTTTGCCGGTCGGAACCTCCACCAACAAGAGGCTGCCTCCAGGCACAATTGTGTACACTCTGGATTGCAGCGCCGGTCGTTTCCGCAAAAACTCCAGTGCTGTCGGTCTGGAGTACAAGCTGACCTCTTCGAAGGACAAGGTCATTGTCAATGGGAAGCAAGTGACGGTCGCAGACGCGGTCGCCAGCCTCAAGTCGAACTCCGTTTGGGAGCACATCCCGCCTTCCTTCACCCAAGGTTCCCTCCCATCGGCCGGTCTGAAACCTAACCAGCAGATGGTTTGGGTTCCAGGAGATGACGCGTCGGTCGTGATGGCCCAGCTCAACAAGGCCACGGATGCTTCTTGGAGGTGGGTGATGAAAAATGGCAGCAAAGGGAGTCTCACGCCGGTCAAAGCTTGCCTAGTGATCGACAAACAGCTGATCATTCCCGGCAAGCCGGGACATCTCGGCTTGCTTGTCGGTCGCGAAGTCGGTCACTGAAGTCGGTCGCTGACAACTATAACTATCCGCATGTTAAGTCTGCCATCGGGGATAACCCGTCGACAGAATTGTTTTCCCACTTCACGCGGATTTTTTGCTGATTCGTCGTCCGACGGTCGACTCTGCCATCAGGGATAACCCGTCGACACAATTGTGTGCACACTTTGTGGAGTTTTGCTGATTCGTCCGACGGTCGACTCTGCCATCGGGGATAACCCGTCGACAGAATTGTTTTGACACTTTGTGGAGTTTTGCTGATTCGTCCGACGGTCTGGGGCTCTGTGGCAGCATCAGAAAAATGGTTCATGGTGGAAGATGTGTCGATTCTGATTCTGATGATGACACCACAAATGTCATTTCACCCTGCTCAGGTTCTCTGTCCGATGACAGTGGAGAGCAGTTCCATCCCCGCTATTTGCCCAGAAGCTTTTCATTCAACTGGCAACACTTGCAGAGAGGACAATTCAAGAGCCAGTATCAGACTGGAGGTGCACAAAATGTTCTTGACTTCGCGCATCATGCCAGCCGGTCGCCAAGGCCTTGCCAGGGTCCCAGCATCCATCACATTGAGACTAAGAGCCGTATTGTGAGATGTGAAAGGTGAAGCTGAGAAAAGTGTTCTTGGACTTTGCACAGTTTCTCAGTCAGTCACCCAGCCAGGGCTTCCCAGTGTTTGTCAGACAGGCAACCGAAGTGCTTGATGCAACTGTGCCTGGACGTCATCTCATTCTCCAGAACTGACAGACATCAGGAATCAGTAAAGCAGTTTGGCCAGCACACCTCACCCAAAACGCAACCCATGAACCTTTGCTGGGGTAGAGTTGATCGCCATCCATAAGAGCCATGTCTGACGGAGCCATGTCTGACGAGGAGTTTGTGCCTTCTTTAAGGTCAGAAACCTCCGAGTCGGTCGCTTGCACACAAAACTTTGATTCCTCGTCAGCCGATGCTGCATCCGAACCCAGTGTTTCTGACAGCGAAGCCGAAATGCCGGTCGAAGATGAAGTCGACGGTCGCCTTTGGCGACCAGGGGAGAACTGTGGTACGTTCGTGGACAGACATGCTGCCTTGCAAGGCCAAGGCCAAGTTTTGTCGGTCAATGTCATGACCAACCTTCAGCGCTGCCCGAAAGACGTCTTGTCGGCCGTGATGAAATACATGCCGGTCAGGCTGGGTCTTCCAAATCCAATATTTTATAGATTTATCAATTATCATCTGCAAAATTATTTCAGTTAACTAATTTAAGTAATTGATTCAATACAATAACTGCTGCCTGAAAGGAAGTTTGCTGGCAAATCACTGGTCGAAAGGGTAGCAGCAGCTCTATTGGGTTTGGGAACCACCAGCGTAGAACGATCCATGCAGAGCCGGTCGAAGCTTGAAGAGTTTGAACGCGAGAAGCTCAAAGAGAAAGAGAAGGAGGGTATACAAAGGAAACAGAAGGCCGTGTCGGTCGACAAGGAGCTGTCACTGGACACAGTAGTCGACATTTGCCTTTCCAACGCATCCGAAGGCCGGTCCTTCCTCTCTTTTGAAAGAGATGCCGAGAGGAACCGCCGGCGTGGAGTGCAATTGGGCCATTGGCCTTGCAGCCGGTCGTTCTGCCGCGAGGTGGAGTTCTATGCCGCCAGGGCATTGCAGAATTTGGATGCGATGGATTTTCAACGGCTGGTCGTTGGCCTAGGCATTCCAAGCGACTTCTGTGCTTTGCCGCCAGATTAGACAGTCGATGCTGCAACTGTGTGTGTGAATCAGTGATGTGGCTCATCTCACTAAGCAAGGTGTCATGTTGGACTCCATCTCCATTGGCAAAGAACAAATGCTGAAGCGGGACAATGTGTTGCTGGTCGGACTGTCGGTCGTGAGCCAAAGCACAGGCTTCCTCTTCATGTCCAAAGCATCATGGCACTAGCCGGTCACCTTTGTGTCTTCTATCTATTTTTTCACAGAATAAATTAACAACTAATAATTTGCCACAGGTCGTGCTTACACACCGATGGTTGGCGGGAAGACTTTGGGTGTCGGTGATCATGCAGGCCCACAATTGAAGAAGGTCGCGTTGGAGATTCTGGAGGAGCACCCTGCCCATTTTAGCAGCCGGTCACTGGCGGCATCTTTAGCCATGGTTGTCGGCGATGGCGCCAATGCCATGGGTGGTCGGTTGGCTCGGCACAAGAGCACAGCTTCGGCGGAACTGATATGGTCTGAAGTTTTCAATTCTGTTTGGGATGGAGACCCTGTGCCGGTCATGACGGACTGGGGCCTGATGCACCGTGAAGCATAGCTACAAAGCAATAGTTGTGATAATCAAACGATATGTTCAATTGTAATATGTACACACTGTTGGTCGAACTACGAAGGAACAAACCGCACTGGATCGGGCAATCAAGTCTGTCGATGCAGCTACAGAAGTTATGGACATCGTATCTGTTTTGGACAAGACCTTTTTCATGGGCGACGGTCGGGCCTTGCTGCGAGGAGTTTCGAAACAAATTGGTGAGCCGGTCGGCACCCTGGGAGCACCTGGCGGAACACGGATGTTTGTATTTTTCCGTTTGTCGCTTTTGAAGAATTTCAGGCCGGTCGTCACCGCTATGCATGCAAGACTGGCTTGGAAGCAGCAAAAGCACGGAGCCCGAAGTCTGAGAAATTTGATGGACGTCGGTCGCCGTTTGACAGACGTGAGCTTTGTGGTGTTCCTATCTTTCTTGGAAAACTTCATGCCGGTCGCCTTCGAAGCTTTTTCTCAGGTGGCCCAAAAGGCGGTCGAACCTTCAAAACTGCAAGCAAGTGCAGAGAGATCGCTGCAGTACGCCAGACGAGCAAGCACCTCCATCGACAGACTGAAGACCTACGTGACGGTCGCCACCTTGTTGCGCCAGCACTGTTCCAGCAAGCAGATCATGCAGTTTCTTGCAGCCCTTTGCTACACACCAGCTGGTCGCTTTTTGCCAAAGTTTCTTCCTGGAATCATGAAGATAATGCATGTACTGCCGCCAGAGTTCTCGTCGGTTACATTGCACACCAGCAGAGAGCCGTCGGTCGAATACTATTGCTTGGGCCCACATTGCCAATGTTTGGGCAGGGAGAAATATTCTGAGACGAGGCCGAGGCCAGTTGTGAACTGGGATGGACCACGTGGAACCCGTGAGGCGTGACATGCTGATGTTTCTGGTCGGGCGGTCGGAGTTTTGGTGTTACTTCATTCATTCTCTTCGTCTGTCTCAGAGAGATGAAGCCCCTGCCGCCCAACCTTAAATCATTAAACATGAAACACACCCTTCAAGGTGCGTGTGCCGGTGTGGGCTGACGGTCGAGCTTCGTTGCAAGATGACTTCTACGAGCCACGTGTTCAGTTTCGTAGTCGAACACGGCAGCTTGGAAGACAAGAAGCTCGTCGATTTCGTCAACATTTGTGGGAGGATCGGACCGATGGTTGCGAACACGCAGAATCCACTTGGGCACAGGCCGGTCGTTGTGTATGCAAATGGCGGTCGCGGTGTGTCATCCCAGAGAAGGTTTATATCGTGCACCATGATGTGATTCAAGCACTGGACAGTGCAAAGACGCTCGCCGGTCGTGCCACAGAGGAGATGTCGCAAATTCTCGGGCCGGTCGGTGTCAATGATGATGTCTTGCAGATCCGGTCCAATGCAATGATTGCGTTTGACTGGGAAGGGTTGATCGGCGGTCAAGCCCAACCTCGGCACGGAGATGCTTTCCTGAAACTGTATCAGGCACTCAGGCCGGTCCTAAGGCACACACTTTGGCCCACGGGCCCTGAGTTTCAAGGTGTCGAACATCGATGGGATTTGCCGGTCGAAGACATGAAGGCACAATATAGACTGTTCCTTTCTCGTGTTCTTGCAGCAGCATTTGGGAAGGACTGTCGGGTGCCGCCGGTCATCAGAGCAGAGGCTAAATCATGGTTTTCCGTTACTGCTTGCACTGTGCGGCCGGTCATGGTCTTCTCCGCTGTGGCGGCCATCGTGCAGCAGAAAATGCCCTATGCTTCAAGAGCTGGACAGCTGTATTGTGCGTCTGTCGTTTCACTTTGTTTGGGATCGTACCAACAGCAGCAGCTGCCTGTGTCTGCGTATGAGACTTTCCAGGTTGCCAGCGACGGTCGCTTGCAATATTCATTCAGTTGTAATTATTTATTAGTAAAGACATGATCAATTAATACAGGTTGGAGTGGAGTGTTCTGCATGATTGTTGGAAATGGAATGCAACAGCATTTGGTTTGTGTTTCCCTTATCATAGTTCTGAGGACTCGCGCAGGTCGGAAGTCTCACTGTAAACAGACGGAAACGCAGAAAGACAGGGGCGGTCATAGTTCCCACAAAGGGACTCGTGGCGGTGCTGCCACCGGTCTGCATTTCAGATTCAGCCTAGCCAAGATCCCAGACTTCCTTTGCTGACAATATATATGCGTCCATATCTATTGTCGGTCTGAGGAAGTCTGGTATCTTGGCTAAGCGCTTGGTGGTTGTGACCGAAATGAAGGTCTCGGTTGATTCTGTGGCAATCGCTAGATCCTTGGAAGCACATCCTTGGTTTACAGTTGGTCGATGCAGAACAGACCCAAAGTGCTGGCATGTCGGTCGCTTGCATCATCGTACTCGGCTGCTGGCAGCACCTGAAGCTGCCATCGAGCGCCTGGGTTCCATAATGAATTACCAGTACGATGCCTGTGCTGGTCTTACCCCGGCACAGGCGGTCGATCGCCTGCTCTTGGATCTCTGGAAACACATAGTAAAGTATTTGTTTAGTTCTAGTGTTGATTCATCAATTATTCAATGTATTTTTGATTAGACAGAGAAAAACACGAGCCTGAAATTGCCTGTCTGAGGCCCAAGGTGGGCTGCACATGCTGGGCTCGGACCGCGATGAAATCCTCAAAGCTGCAGTCTGCCGGTCGATCATGTCGGTCCGCAAACGAGCCCGAGGAGGAGGACCCACTGAGCAGATCCGCCAGAAGAACAATGCTGTGCGTCTGTCTGGACGGTCGTTTGAAGAGCTTTCTGGGCACAGCCGTCAGGACATGGCAGAACTGCTGGATCCACTGCTCCCACAAGACATCGATGGTGGATTGTCGGTCGTCTTGAGGAACATTCAGCAGCAACATTCTTCGTCATTGCCGTGTGATCTTCCTGATGTTCTCCAGCAAGCTGTGCAGAAGGCGGTCGTTGGCGGGTCATCAGCCTGCACATAGTATTAGTTTATTATTTGACTCAATCATGACATGTACTAATCAAATGTAAGGAATCAACTTAATTGTTAAAAAAATACAACTCTACAGTATTCAAGTTGACTGGAAGGACCAGAGAGCCAAGGAAAGTGCAACTGCTGCCAACCTCAGTGCAGGTCCTGCACGCTCAGCAGAAGTCGGTCGCCTCCTCTGTTATGAGAGACTACTTGAAAGAGTGGCTGGAATCAGAGGATGGCAAGAAGTACCAAGCCAGTCGGGCTAAGCTTTGGAAGTGAGCTGGTCGCTGCTGAGAAAAAATGCCGACGATGTTGTGAACACTGCATTTGTGTACCAAGATCTAGCTCGGTCACTTTTCGAGTGAGTCACGTCACCCAGGCCATGACTGGATCGCCGGTCACTGCTGCACAAAGGACTGGGCCGTGTGTTGCATATGAAGCACTAGCTCGGTTGGTGATCATGTCTTTTGCAAAGCACCAGGCCATCATGGTGCCCAAGCTGCAGAACCATTTTGCTGTCAGCAAAGTGGTTCTTCAGGTTGGGCACTAGGTGCTTCAGTGGTCTCGTCGGACCCCCAGCTGTTTGTTTGCTGCACTCCTCCTGATTTCTCTCACATGTTATCTTCAGTCAAGCAGGCCGGTCAATGCCATAAGATGAAGATCCGAAGCAACCCTGGCCCACGACTGTCCGGCACTGCCGGGCGATCGTGGATCCGAGTTGCTTTGCATCTCCAGCTGGTGGCATGTTGGAAGCTCAGACCTTCTTTAGTAACCTGACCGTCCTGTGATGAGCTCATGTGGCCCAGGCCGTGGTTGCCGTGCTGGTCGCTGCCACTGAAAGAAAGACAACGAGGCGATGTGTAAGCCCTTTGTCGGTCGATCACAAGGCGATGCTGTCACGATGGCATGGCCTTCTGCTTGACTCTGTCTGTCTGACTTGCCAGCTGTGCTTCAGCTCTTATAGCATCATCGACTACACATCACTTAGAGAGTTTCTTGCAGCCGTGGTCGTGTCAGGGAGCAACAAGCCTTGGGACTGAACAAAGCCATTGCACGGCAGCATCAGCGTATCATCATACCTATAATATACATGAGAACTTCACTTGAGACTAGACTTTAGACATGGAGCAGATGGAGCTCCTTTCGGAGTCTGAGTCCATGTCGGTCGACCTCCAGATATGTTCAGGCAGCGAAAGCTTGAAGAGCTGGTCGCCGGATGAGAGTGGGTCGGAGTCTCTTCCGGCGTCAGATATGCCAGATATTGACGTGGACCGGGCAAATGCGACGCCGGTCGCAAATTTTGGCAGCGGCATGGCAGGTGCCAAGCAGTGGCCTGAGATCACGATGATTGCTTTAAGTCGTATTTTGTCGGTCAAGCAACTTCAAGGCATGGCTGTTGTGAAACCCATCGATTAAGAACCGTTTATTAATTATTCTTGCAATCGTCATAATGCTAATAAGTTATCATTATCAGAGCAATAGTAATAATAATCGTTATCAGTTTCTGAGCACCCTGACCAGGTTCCATGCTGGCTGGCCCAATCCGTGTCAGTACACATTTCTCAGGTGTTGGATGTGCTGAGCAGGCGGTCGAGCGTGTGCACAAGGCCTTCCAAGAACTTCTTCTGTGTAAGTTCACCACGCGGGCGGTCGCCAAGAGATCGACTCTGCAGTTCGTGTCTGCGTGTGACTTATCACGGGCCTGCCAGAATCTTTTGATGGGTCGGTCGGAGCATGTCTTTGGAGATATCAGGGATGCCTTTCCGACTCTGGAAATGCTAGGTCCTGACCGGCCGGTCGCAGAGCGGTGGGCACTGGCCAAGAGAGCAGCCGCCAACGTCCCAAGAATATGTCGGTGTCATGTTGCATGCCGGCCACCACCCGTGACGGTCGACATCAGCGGTAGCCCATGCCAGCCATGGTCGAGAGCTGGACAGAAGAGGCGCTGGACCGACGGTCGGTCTGACCTTCTCCTGCTATGGGCAGCCCTTATGTTGAAGCAGGAGCCGCCGGTCATACTGCACGAAAACGTGTCTGGCTTTCCCACGTCGGTCCTGGAGGATCTCATGCAGGAAAAGTATGTCATTCATCACTTGCGGGTCGAGCCACACCATGTGGGCTTCACCTGTGTGAATCGACCACGGGTATATTCCGTGCTAGTACATCGGTCGAGAGCGTCGGTTGCCGATATCCCGACGGTCTACCATTTCGTGACAAGCTTCTTCAATTCCGTCGGTGGTGGACTGTCCATCAGAGATTGTTACATAGGGTCGGTCGAGGAGACTCTAGAAGAGGAGAACTTCTGTCGCAGAGCAAAGGGTTTAGACATGGTGCAGACGCCAAGCCGGTCGTGGGAATGTCTGCTGACTGGGCAGCAGCAGAAATACTTGGCAAAGTACCGTGAAACTTGGCAGCAGTGCAGGTCTGACAAAGAGCAGGAGCCGGTCTTTGATCTCAGCCAAAACCCTGCACGTTTCCTTAAGATGACTACAAAAGATGGTCGCTTGCCAACTTTCCGCACGAATACGAAAATTTGGGTGGATGGTTTGAGCCGATGGCTTCTGCCGGTCGAAATGGCAGCAGCAATGGCAATGAACTATGGGGTCCTGGGGCAGCCCAACCGACAGCAGGTCGGCAACGGAATGCATGTGGCCAACTGTGGAGTAATGTTGGCGGTCGCCTTGGCCTGTACGCGTTGAAGAACAGTGCGGTTAAAAAAAATGCAGTGTGGTGCAATGCCCAATATCTGATTGGCACACTTGCTCCATGATTCATCCTGTGCCACGTCGGTCGTGCCTATTTTCAGTCAATCTTAATTAATGTCGTTTGCTCATTGCCAGGCAGACGTGGTGAGCCCTCCTCTGAGAGCAGGTCGACCAGGTGGATGACATGGTACGACCATGCCGTCCAAATGGTCCGTGGCTGCTGGTTGGAAGACCAGACACAGTGCCGGTCCTTCAGCTTCGCTGAATCTTCACTTTGCGTGCCTCCTGAGTGTACAAAGGAGTTCTGGAGCCGTGGGGCAGCTCGAATGCGAATCCCTCTGAGAGGTGTTCGCATTGGAGCTGCCCCACGGTTCCCAAGCAGCTCAACGAGAAGGCTCTGTAGCCTACAGAGCCTTCTCGTTGAACTGCTTGACCGAGCATGTTCGACATGCTGATGTCAAGGTCATGTCATTGAAAAAGTTGAGTTCATGTTATAGGCGTTGTTTTCACACAGCCGGTCCATCATGTGGCTGGACGATTGGGCCAATCGTCTCAACCACAAGCCGATGGACCGGCCGCCAGGTTCGGAGATGGCCTTGACAACGGTCGTAGACATTGAAGCACTGGGGTGACCACATCGCTTGCCGGTCGACTTCCGTCCCGGTGCATTCCTGAGCTCGCCGGTCGACTTCGGTCTCGGCGCTCAGCTTGCCGTGGCCTTATGGTGGAGCGCAAACGAAACAGTATTTTAAGTTCATGTTAGGCGTTGTTTTCACTCAGCCGGTCCATCATGTGGCCTTGACGGCGTCAGTGCAGCCCAGAAGAAAAAAGAGCTCGAGGCTCGAGCTCTTTTTTCTTCTGGGCTGCACCCCGAGCTAGGAACTCGATTGTGCAGAATCAGGCGGTCGACTGCTCAAACCGTGGAAGTCGATTGTGCAGAATCAGGCGGTCGACTGCTCAAACCGTGGAAGTCGATTGTGCGGAAAAGGCGGTCGACTGCTCAAACCGTGGAAGTCGATTGTGCGGAAAAAGGCGGTCGACTTCTCAAACCGTCTAAGTCACGACCCTGTTTTTTGGTTTATGCCAAAGTCGTACAGCTCAACCCTGAAAAAATGAACTACAATGGAGACTATAGGTAGGGCTTTCCCCCCACAAGTCCTCAGCATTGCCAACGGAAGTCCTTAAGTTAACGCTCTGAAACTTCTGCCCTCATTCTTCGAATCCCTAAACACAGAAACTAGAATCATACCGAAAACTAAGCCGGCGATAACATCCTTCGACCTTTGTGCAGGGTCTAGGGCTCCATGGTTCTGTACCTTAAACTACCAAATCCTACTTTTTTGTAGGTTCCGATTATAAACCCTCATATGGAGGTTACAGGGACCCTGCAAAAAAAGTAGGTTTTGGTAGGGTTCCGTACTGTTTGGGGGGACCCCCAACTTCGAGCTCCAAACCTGAGACCTTCAACCCTTGGAGCCGAGCGCACAGTTGCGCTGATTCAACGTGTGAGGCTGGCTCCAGGGTTTAGGGTTTAGGGGTTATAGGGTTTAGGGTTTAGGGGTTATAGGGTTTAGGGTTTAGGGTTTAGGGGTTTAGGGTTTAGGGGTTATAGGGTTTATAGGGTTTAGGGTTTATGAGTTCAGGGTTTGGGGTTTATCGAGACAACCCAAACTCTGCACCCGAAACTCCGAACCCTAAACCATCGTAAAGCTTTGGCCCTGAACCTCCAGCTGCCTGCGGCCCAGTCAGGTTCTATGGCCTGCAGTTCCCATGGACGGAGGACCGGTACAATCCAACTCATGGGGCTTGCTACTACCTGGATCCCAAAACTATGTAGAACAACGGCCTTTTGTAGGTTTTGGGCCATTATGTTCCCTACTTTTGGGGGTTTAAGGAAGAGTCCCCAAGCCACCCTAAACCCAAACCTTAGAGCTTGAAGCCAGGTGCTTGAAGCTCCAACGCGCTATTGGTCTTAGATCTTCGAAAGAACGTTTTGGCTGTAGACCAAACTTTTCAACTTTTGGGGCTCTTATAAGGCAGTCGATTCTGCAAGTTCAACTTCTATTCCCCTGGTTTTGGGCCAACGAGAAAAACCTATAAGCAGCTGGAAAGACTTACTTCAAACCCTATACCCTAAACCCTACACCCAAAGGAGATGCTACTGAGCTCCAAGTTTGGTGCCGAATGGCTGACGCAGGCAGAGAGACCTTGGCTTGGATCGGGAAGCGCTCGAAATTGAGGTGTTATAGTGTTTATAGGATCATTTATAGAGCTTCTATATGAGGGTTCCATAAACCTTCATGGTTTGACGGCTTCAGGGTTTTACGATGCGGGGTTTGAGGGCTTCAGAGGTTAGGGCATTACGGCTTTAGGGTTTTAGGGCTTACGGTTTCGGGTTTCGGGGCTGGGGATTCAAGGCATAAACCAGAAGGTGTCTCACTGGGTTGTATAGGCTTGAGAGTCTTTCTGGGCGGTCTGGCAGCCTTCTCAAGGCTCTGTAGGAATCTCATGCTCAAGCAGTAGTCGGTAGCACGTTTGCCAGGGGAGGTGGGGGGTTCGTTAGGTAGGGTGCGTAGGGCTCTATGGTAAACATTCTGGGTGCATAGGGCTCTATGGCTTGAGGTCTGGCATAGTGGCACATGCCCTGGCTTTTGCTCCCCGATTGAAAGAGAGCAAGGGCTTAGTGCGTGTGAGATTCGGAGCCGTTTGATGTCAGTTCAGCCTTTCGCAGGCTCACGTTGGCTCTGGGACTCAAATGATATCGTAGTCATGCTGCCCTGGCGATTAATTGTTGTGGTCACAGTACCTCGCAGTGCATCTCCCCGCCTATGTTTGCTACCCCGAAGTCCTAAGAGCCCGGACCCGAAAGTCACGACCCTTGAAAGCCATAAATCCATCAAACCCAGAACCATTGAAAGCCCACCGGCCATGAAGGCTTAAACTCCAAACTCTCTTGAGTCCTGGACTACATGGGCTTCGGAAACAGGCTTTATACATAAAGCAGCCGAAGTTAAATTTGCTGATTGTCCGAGTTCTCCGCGCCTTAACACCCTATAGCACCGCTATAGAACCCTTATAGAAGCCTTGAAGCTTTAATTGGATGACCCTAAATCTCAGTCTCAAACTTTGTGCAAGTCTTAACGTGAAACCCGACTTGCTATTTCCCTTACAACCTCAGAGCTCACATTGGGACATGAAGCCGTGACACAGGGTTGCAAGGCCTTAGGGTGCAGGGTCCAGGGTTCAGGTTTGCGCTCCGCAGTCCCTAAACCCCTAACCCCAAACCGTTTGGGACCTTTAGGAGCCTGATTGCTCGGTTTTTCGAGAGGCCATGCACGTAGCTGGCACGCTGCCACTGGACAACAAGGTGCCCTGTGCTCAGCTGCCGAGATCTCCATGTTTTTCGGGTGCAAGGAAACCCCAACCCCCAAGGAAACCCCAAGCCGTAAACCCTTTGGAGCCCTCGACCCCTAACCCCTTGAGGTTAACGTTTCAGCATGTCAAAAACCCGCGACCCCAAAACCATGTAGGTTTTAAGCATGTGGCCTCGGTCAGCCAGAGATGGCTGGACAGGAGCAGGTAGAGATCATGGTTCAGGCGTGACAACGGTTGGGGTTTATTTAAGGGGCTATAACATGCGGGTGCTTGAGTAGTTTGGCGAGGTAGGTGGTTTTGATTGTGTGTGCTTGTATAACTTGAAAAGCATCCATAGTGGAACTACGCAAATCCTCGAACCGCCACAGTGCGACAGGCAGGGGGGTGCTTCTCAGAAAGTCGGGCCAAACCCCTAAACCCCTAGGCCCCAAATCCCGCATTCCCAATCCGCAAGTTGAGCAGCAACGACTTAGTACTTCGGGTTTGACCCTGAGGTCGGTGTACAAGACTGTTTTTTTTTGTTCGTTGGGCTTGGGCAAGTTGACGTCTGAGGACGAAGGTCAGCGCAGACCCGTTCAAGATCACCACCGGCCGCTCTGCTGCGCTAATGAGTGGGGCAAGCCAGAACCCCTGGCGAAATCGTCGACGACGACGACCTATTGCCTTTTAGAAGTAGAATCGAAGTAGAAGTGTTAAGCATCAAGAACTTCAAGTAGTTGGTGGGCTGCTACTAACAGCACTCGCAGTTTCTACTACGACTATAGAACTGTTTTTCGCACCAATGGCAGGAATATTCGCAGGGGGTGCGATGCTGATGTTGTTGTTGGTGATGATGGCGTGCTGATGATGACGTCGTATTGGTTGTTGTTACGTGGTGATGTAGGGGGCAGTGGTGTTGTTGATGTTGATGTTGGTTTTGTTGCTGTTTTGAATGTAGTAGCAGTTGTTGCTGTTGTTGAAGCTGGTACTTAATGAGTAGGCAGTGGCTATAAGTCAGTAGTCAGTGCTGTGCAGGCAGAGGTAAGTGGTTGGTAGTTGGTCGCCCGTAATGAACAGCTGGTAGATGGTGGTTCGCAACGGTTAGTAGTACCAGTACGTAAGTGTGGTAGGTAGTGAGTAGCAAGGAGCAAGTAGCAAGTAGTAACTGTCACTGGGAAGTAGTCGAATGTATAGTGGGTAGTAGGTAGGAGGCGTGTAAATAGCAGAACACCGTGCGACTCGCCTTAATGAAGAAGCAGCAGTCTTTACAAAGCTGAAAGCAAAGCCAATGACAAAGTCATTGCTGCCACCAGTCCGTTCACAATTGACGGCGGGATGCCTTGGATTGTTAGGCACATCCCCGGGGAGCAGAAAGCGCACATTCCTCACAAGCCCAATACAGTGACTGCTGTTGGCCATGTGTTGGTTCGACCCTGATAGAGTGCAAAGCCTCTCCCCTACTCGGAAGACTCAGGGACAAAGGAAATAATTAAGGTTTCCACTGGGCCCTGTTTCTGCCAAGCCTGTTGTATCGCTGATGGCAGCCTCGCATCTATTTCTGGTAATTCTGCGGCCCGCGAACACCCGCCTGTTCCCCAGAGCCAAGACGACACAAGAAGCATTCAGGAAACAATGGTGGCAAGTTCCTCTTCGAAGTCGAGTATCTGAATCCCTCCGAGGAGCGCGTCCTGTCCTTCTGTAAGAGTCCTATATGATCGGCTTTCGGACGGTTTTTATAAGGTTCAGCATCTTCTCATACCGAGAAGCTACCAGAGGAACATCTTCCGGCAGTTTGTATGCTTTGTTGTGCAGGTGCGAGGCGCGAGCACCGAGCATGATGTCGATCGTTGGAAGCATCATGTGTGACACGAGCCCCTCAACCCTAACCGTACCTGTAGTCTCCATTGTAGTTCCTTTTTTGGGTTACCTTATAGGATCCTTAATATATAATTGGTTAAACCAAAAAAAGAACTACAATGAAGAGGCTTGAGACACGGAAATCTCACACGACAAGCCTGGGAGGTCCCTAGCCCCTAATCCATCGTCGGACGCATAGCCTGACTTGTGCCGTGGTAATGCCATACCACGCTATACCAACCTGTAATGGCTATACTATGCTAAGTTCGACTATAACTTGCTATACTGCAACCTACGAGGATACAGCAGAATGCGCAACCATATGATGCACGATCATGTCCTTGATGCCGGCTACTTGAAAGGAAGACAGGGTTACCGCTTGCCTTTGGCCCGAAACCCTAAACCCTAAAAGCCTTCAAAGTCCTCGTACATAGGCTCTAATTACCTGCTAGGTATTGCGACTGTTGTAAGTAGGAAAAGGGCCCGAAAAAAGGCAAAAACATAACTAAATCTAAAGGCCCTAAGTGAGAAACGATGGGCCGGAGGACCTCCACACTCGTCTCTTCGCGAAGATTCCTCACTCCATGGAGACGGCAGCAGCCTCTGAGAGGAGGTTTTAAGGTTCCTCAAAGGGATTAAGGATATAGGGGTTGGGGTTTGGGTAAAGGGTTTAGGAAGTAGGTCAAGGGTTTAGGGCACGGGGTTCTTTGAGGTTCCTTGAAGGGATCAAGGGTTTATAGGGTCTAGGGCGGGGGGGGTTAAAGTTGAGGGTTCAGGGTCTACAGTGTTTAGGTTTATACGATTTGGAGTCTTGGGGTTTACTTTACGGTTTAAAGGGCCAAGTTGAGGGTTCATGATGTCGAAAGTTCAGGGCACTGGTCTACGGTATAGTAGCTTGGGGGGGTATAGGGGCTGATGGTGCATTGTTTTGATGACAAAGTTTAACTTGTGTAGGATCCTCAACAGTCTCCCTTGCTTCGATACTGGTGCCCCAAGAAACTCCCGAGCTCTGAACCCCCAACCCTCCTTCGCACTCAGCGCAAAGCAAGATCCATATGGGAGTTTCCGAAAATAGGGTACTCTGATATAGTACCCTAAATAGTAGGATCCTTATTATAAGGACCCCCAAATAAGGTACCCCTAATTTTCGGAAAGTCCCATATGCCAAAGGCGACTCAGTCCGACCGCCTCAGCTCCTCTGTGAACAAGCAGCCGATGGAGTTTTACGAGCACCGCAGTTGCATCTAGGATGGGGCTTCGCGTCGAGATTGGACTTGTGGTGGGGCTCGTCGCTTGCAGTTTGGGATTTTGGCGTTGAGGTTTCATGCGGTTTTCGGACGTGAAAGCTCTTAGTGGTTGTCTCCCCAGCTGAAGCACGGCATGTAAGCCCTTGTTGGGCAATCCATGATGCAGACTACGAAAGCCGACGAACATGGCATCCAAGTCCTCTGGTTGACAGTTGTCGGGTTGGGGGTTCGGAAGGTTCGGCTCGTGGCTTCGGTTTTAGTGTTTCAGTTCTCGGCCTAGGGATTAGGGTGTATGACCATCTCCATCAAAAAACGACAGGGCATGTTAGCACGGGTTGTCACACACACCAAGGCTTCACCAAGCTTTCTCCAAGGTCCGATTCGGTTCGGCTTGATTTAGTGTAGCAGGTGCTCGGACAGAGTTCAGGTGCACATGAGATGGTTGTATGAGGGTGGGTCCCTTGCACTGGGATGCTCCAGTATGCTCGGCTGAACCCCTGGTACACACTCCAAGCCGATTACTATTCCCGAAGCCTCAAGACCCCTGCGCCCATCAACCTCAACGCTAAACCCCCAGACCCCAAAGCTTATGCCTCAACCCTAAACCCAGACCCGAAACCCCAATACTAAAACACCCTAAACCCCAATAAGCCCAAACCCAAAACCCTCGACCCTCCATAATTACTGCTGATGGACAAAATCCTGCAGTACCCATTGTAAGGAATATACCATAGTTCCCATAGTTTAGAGTTCTTAGGGTCATACAGGATTTTGTCCATCAGCAGTACCCTCGGCGCTCCAGGCTCAACTCTTCGCGGCTTTTGGAGGCCGAGCTGCCGGTGAAGATCCCGAGGTAACCGGCCCCAGAGAGTTACAACAAAAAAAGGTCTCAAAATTGAGGGTTTAGGGGTTTAGGGTTTGGGGTTTAGGAGCTAGGGTTTAGTGTAATTTCTTTTAAAGGTCCTCATAGGGTCGTATAAGAGCCTCGTAAGGTCTTAGAGGGTTGTCATCAGGGGCTTATAAGGGTTGTAGAAGGGTTTAGAGGGAGCAAAGCATCCAACAAAGTAGAGGGGTCTACAAGGGATTTAGCATCCGGGCTCGGGATTTCTGGGTTCTTTCTACTTAACGGATCAGTGGGCTCAATGACTCGGGCTAGTAAGTGCAGGTATACTTGTTTCCCTCATTTGGGTACTTATAGCCTTACTTACTAAATCTCATGGTTTCAAGAGCTTGAACCCTAAACCCTAAAGAAGGGACCAACAGGATTTCTTGAAGGGTTCCTTGAAGAGCACTACCGGCTTCAGCGGCTTAGAGTCTAGCGCCTGGCCGGTTCTAAGCGGTGAAACTTGGGAGTTTGGGGCATAGGGTTAGGGCTTAGGGGTTTCTGAGAGGTTAAAGTTCGGAGTTTGGGGTATAGGAGCCTAACCAGTCATATGTCAGGGTTGTGTTTCATGGTTTAGCGGTGTTCAGGCCGAAGGTTGGGGAGCAGGACTCGAAAGGCTGGGATGAAGGTAGGTGGGGTACTCGCAAGTAATGAGTCCGCACGGAAGGAATCCTTCAAACCCAGCCCCGGAATATCAACTACACAGGACCAAGATCCGCATCTAGGGCCCGAAAGCCGAGGTATTACTTCGGTGACATCAGCAATGTGCCTTGGCCCTCGAGACAGAACCTAGGCTTAGGAAGAGCTTCTGCTCTCGTTCCGGACCCCTTCCGCCGTGATGATGATAGCCATGATGATTACCACGATGAAGGTAGTAGTGAGGATGACGATGATGCTGATTATCATGTTGACACTGGCATCATGGAGGATGGTAAAGATGAGGGTGATGATGATGATGATGACGATGATGATGTTGGTGGTGGTCGTGAAGATGCAATCCTGATATTTTGTTGTTACTACTACTACTACTACTACTACTACTACTACTACTACTACTACTACTACTACTACTACTACTACTACTACTACTACTACTACTAGGCTAGCACGCCCTGAGGCGCCTGGGCTTTTTATGGCACACATCTCGCGCCACTGAGGGGATTAGCGTAATTGTGCAAAAACGCTAAAAAGCAGGAATTCCGGAAATTATTCGCAGGGCTTAAACGTGTAGTTTCGCTGTTCATTCTTGGAGTTTCAGTGTGTAGTGGTGCTGTTTGCTTTGCTGACAAAAGGACCAAGACTGTGACGCCCATGAAGAGTGGCACATGTTTCTTCTTCGCCGCTGTGCGTGTCGCTGCTTCAGAGCTTTCAGCACTGCTTTCGGAAGCAAGCCGGGAGTGTCCCCATCCCAAGACTTGCGAAAAACCCACTGGTGATGCGCGCTCACGACCTCGTTGTACTCAGGATAGAGACAAGATAGCATGCTTAGTCGATAGTCTACGACGAGGTTTCAGAGATTACATAGACACATTGCCAAGTAGCCAGGAAAAACTCCAGGATTTCACCGAAGGGAAGGGTCAAGAAACCACCCAGCGACGGGAGTCCCGGCAAACGGCGGATTGCATGTGCACGACATGAAGTGCATTGTTCGCCTATAGGTTTAGGACCTCAACACTTACATAGTGTTCTCTATCTCTCGCTCTGCACGTATTTCGGTTCGGACTGCATCTATCTTTGGTTTGTGTCACGTTAACATCACCCCCCCACCCCCCCCAAGTCCCCACTCTGATTAACCACCAGAACCAGTGGAGAAGCAGGAAAAACACTGAAGAACCACCAGGCGCCTCGGGGCGTGCTTTGCTACCACTTACTGCTACTGCTACAGCTACTGCGACTCGTTCTGCTGCAACCACGGCTACACGCCCACGACGACGACAAGAGACTACTGCTGCTGCTTCAGCTGCTACTGCTGCTACCATTGGTTTTTTGGCAGCCTGTAGAGAGATTTATTGATTGTAACAGCGGTTTTGAACAACATGAGGATGCCACCAGGAGGTTTCCGAATCCTGAAGCACAAACGCGCTCCATCTCATGACCTGCACATACACCCCTTCGAATTCGGTAAAAGCCCCAAGCACTAAAAGCAAAAGCCCTGCGCCGCAGGCCGAAATCCCCTCAAACCTCCACATCGGAGCCAACACCGAAGCTTTGAAAACCATCCCCGAGATTCTCCCTGAAATCCGATTGGCCTAATTCTTCACATCTAAACACTAGAACCAGAAATCCACGCCAACAGCCCCCGTCCCCAAAGCAATTCGACGCACGGCCCAGGAAACTTCCAACTGGATCCTGATCACGGAAAGTCGCCGGGCAGCAACGGCTATGTAGGTTTTCGGGGGTTGTTTGTTCAGGGTTTAGGGACTGCAATGAAAAGATATAGGGAAGCAGGACGTGGACGATGATGGTGATGGTGATGACGCTGGACTTTGTTACCATTGTTTGCATGGTTGCCATAGCTATGATGAGGCACAATGCAATACTAACCACAATCATTACGGCAGCTAAGTTGGCAACCAACATAGCAGGAGCCAAACAGTAAGGTAGCCTTGAACCCTACACCCCGAACCTCAACAAAGAACCCAATCCAATGGCGCTATAGTAGCAAGCTTTAAATGTTCAGGGGCCATGAAAACGTGCATATGCTCACAGCTGAAGTCCTGATGCCAAAAGCTCCAAACTCTTTGGGGGTCTATGAAAGGGGCCTTAATCATTAACTATACTATTTTGGGGGCTCCTTTTTGTAGATATAGTTTAACGGAGCACAAAACTCCATTCTAACTATTGCAGCCCCTGCATTACCTGAAGCCTTAACCTCACACTGTGCTCTAAACCCTAACTTACCCTAAACCCTAAACCCTAAACCTTACTTCCTGAAAACTCCGGACCCAGTGCCGACTCAAACGCAGAGGTGTGCCGTTCAAGGACCCCAAGCGCTTGGACTTCGAGGGCAAGACAAGAGGCGACCCAAAGGAGCCGGTTTGCGGCATGTAATGTAGTACGCATGTATGCGTGTAAGCATGCATGCATGTGTAGGTATGTGTATGTACATATACATGTATATGTATATACGGAAGACGGCGTAGCTACTGAGCCCATAACTGCTGAAGAATGCGAGCTTCTTGCCTCCGGCTCATACATATACTGGCTTCAACGGCTAGAGACTTGCATGTAGTGCCGCCAAGTGCCTGCACATCGTGCTCTCCTGACTTCTCGCTGCTCATGGGGCGGATCACGCCGAGCGAGATGCATGAGACATGTCATGTTATTCAGTGTTTCAAGACAGTTCTCAGAGCTGAGTGTTCTTTTCCTGGGTGCTGAAAAACTTCAGCATGCTTCGATACAGAAGCCGATCATGCGATCGCCATCGCATCGCAGACTCAGACTCCTTCTGCGGCGAGCCAAGAAGAAGTATATGTATATGTAGATGTATGGTATGTAATCTAATGTAGCTAGTCAGCTTCGTTTCGTTCGTTCCTGGTGCCAGTTCTTCCAGCAGAATGTTTGCGCACTGAAGTGTCACTTATCTAGGGTTTAGGGTTGAGGGGTTTAGGGTTGCGGACTTATCTACCAGTAGCAACACGGAAGTGTTGCACTGCTGAGAGTGGAATATCCTGCAGCTCCCTTTGTGCACTGTAGTTAAGGTGCTGCATGCTATCACAGTTCGGAGACGGCATTGCATAAGGCTTCAGGCTGGGACTCCACTCTCTGACGAACCAAGTGAACACAAAAAAGGGCACAGGCAAAGTTCTGCTTTCATCGACTTTTAGGGCCTGGTCAAAACGAGCATCAGCAATGGCCCATATGTTGCAAGTACCTCCCACTTTGCTACATAATTCGACATGTTCCTGTTGCTGCTGAAGCTGTGCTTGTCCAAACTTCAGGGAGCCTAGTCGGCGTTGCGTGTAAGAACAACAAGAAGCAGAGACTGACAGTAAGCACATTTCAAGGACAAAGCTTGGTTTTTTCCTCTAGTGATTAGCACGGCACATTCTGCATGACGATCGCCTCGAACCCAATAAGTCTCAACCGGGAATTCAGATGCAAACTCCTGCTGCAATGAGGGTCTTTCTATTGTGGGCCGTGCTTTGATTTCCAGGAGCAGCTGAAGCCCTTCGAGATTGAAGGTCCCTATGACAAGTGACTCGGACCACGCCTGCGATAGGTCTGGCAGCTATAGTATCCTTAGGATGTGTTTCATTATGGTTCTAAGGGGGTATAGGCAGAATACCGAGGTATTTTTTGGGTTGTGTTGGGGTCTTATTCGGCCTTTTTCTTGAGTTTGCGGTTTGGGGACTGGCGGTTTGCGTTTACGGTTTCGGTGTTGGGGGATTCTCACGTCGGAGCTCACAAGCAAGTGTACTTCATGAAGGGGTCTACCTATAGTCTCCATTGTAGTTCTTTTGTTTGGTTTAACCAATTATATATTAAGGATCCTATAAGGTAACCCAAAAAAGGAACTACAGTGGAGACTACAGGTAATAATCAATTTGCTCATTTTGTTGCTCCTCACACTTAACCTCCCACTTAAACTTGAACAGCCACTACTTAACCGAAGCTCCAGCCATTTCGACATAAGGAAACATGCAGGTATGTGCGTTGTTGCTGCGATAAAGGGGTCGCTCTAGGTCGGCTTGTGGTTGCTTGTGGCTATTCCCTTAACCCAAAGGCTGAATCGGGCTTCTGGATGCGTACACAAGTTCATCAGATGGGCATGTGTACTAGTATACATATTTTTTTGTATATACGCATGTAAAGGTTTCGGTTTTGTGTACGGATTAGGCTTATTGCCGTTTCTTACGCGTACGCGTAAAGAAAAGTTATCAACATCGACGGATAGGGGCGCAAAAAAGGCGGCCAAGCTTTTGGAATCGTCGCAAGGTGCATGGACTGGTGTTTGCGAGGCCCCCCGTCGGGACCCAAGCCGATCGCAGAGTTTAGCACACTGGTAGTTGTCAAAATTATGGTCCCTTTTTTGGGGGGGTACCCTAAATATTAGGTGCCGTATTATAATAGGGACCCAGATAGGGACCATAATTTTGACAACCACCCACACAATTCTCACGGTCCCAACGAACTGCCGGTTTGCGGGTACGGACGACCTGGAATGAAGTTGTGTAACTCCTTTCGGTTCATGCCTGTACGGTTTAGGGTTTAGGGTTGCCATAAGAGGCTCGCTCAGCGTGAGGTCCGAATACTACATGGCCCTGGTGAAATGCGGCGCTCGTGGCGCCCTCAGCTTCCCACTAACAGCCGACCAGACGGCTGATTATCACACCCTGGCCGCTCTTTGTGCACAAGAGACCAAGCTGAGGAAATCCAATAAAGGGGCCTAAATAATTACCTAAATAAGGTTAGGGTTCCCTTTTATAATCATAGTATAATGGGCCCCAAAACCCTGTTCTACTTATTAAGGCCCCTAGATTAATCTAGCCCGCGCACCAAGCTTCTTGAAGCTCCAAGCCCTGATGAAGCCCCACACTCTGCCTAAACCCGTAGTTTCAACTGCAATCCCCAAATTGAATGGTTTGAGGGTTTAGGGTTTAGGGGTTTAGGGTTTAGGGTTTAGGGCTCTGGACCGAAAATCTTAAACCTGAACGGATGACTGCAAAGGTAAGCAGTAGCCCGACAGGTCCTAAGCTACGAGACTATGGCCCGGCGCTTGCTGCTAAAGTAGGCTCTGCATCCTTTAGGGTTTAGGGGTTTAGGGTTTACCTTAACCCGGATTAACCTACTCTTTGAGGACTTATATAAGGAAATCATAATCAGGAACCCTAAAAAGGTAGGTTATTCCGGGTTAAGGTTATGGCTTAGGAACGTTTGCATACGACCGAACGAAGGCTTGACACCCCGCACCCTTCCAACACCCATGCACTGCAAGATCTCGAAGCCCCCGTCTTTCGATGCACATAGACACAGATGGGTATAGTTGTCAAAATAAAGGTCCCTTTTTGGATACCCTAAGTAATAGGTGCCGTACTATAGTGGGAACCCAAAAAGGATCCATAATTTTGACAACCACCACGTACACACAGATAAAGACGGCCCCCTGTGAAGCCCCTTTGGCCCAGTAACCTCAAAACGGGCAAGGGCCCCCGAACGCATGAAGACCCGCTACGCCCTGATCTTTTTCAAACCCTACAGGTGCCCCAGAAGATTCCGGCATCCAAGTTGCGAGACCCTAAACACTCAATCCTTGGGAGCCCCAGCCTAAAGCCATACCTTTGGTTAGTAGGGAAGGGAAGAATGGTAGTAATAGTAGTTGTAATCGTACCCCATTCCTCCATTCCCTACTACCAAAGGTAAGTAAAGCTGGGACCCACGAACAGCTTCGAAGGCATGGCCGGCCTAGCAAAGGCGGGGAAGTTTGGGGACGAGCAGCTCATTGCCGGAGCCCTAAAAAAAAAGGGAGAGAGGCTTCTGTAGTTTTGGGTGATATTTAGTTTGGGGGAGATTTACTGCTTTTGGGGGCAGCCTGAAGGGGGTTCAGGGTGAAGGGCTTAAGGTTTGGGATGTTGGCAACTTACGGTTTGAGGCTGAGTGCATCGCTTTCCGGCATTTCTCAGGTTTTGGTTGCAGATGTGGTTTCTATCTTGAAGGTTGACGGGCTTGTGGAACAGAATGTCGAGAATCCTACGAAGGGGGTTTCGATTTCGGTAAGTGGCTTTCGTGGCAAAGGTAAAAGGGGCTTGAACAAGGGACTGCTACGGGGTTACAGACAGCTGCAGCATCGTGTAACTAGCCAATGGTTGCGCCAGAAGGATTAAGCATGAAGAGGAGTATTAGCTTTGCGCCTCGCCACTTCGGTCGGGGGACTGCTGGGTTTATTCTGGCCCCTAAACCCCTGAAACCCAACGCTCAGTGTGAGATCTATGCGCTCCTGTCCAGGGGCAGTACACCTACGATTTCTGGACACAGGGAAGTAGTTTGGTGGACATGGAGATTCCGTTTTCGGGTTCTTGCAGATAGCCTCTGCCCCATCAAGCGAGGAAGGGCATTCTAATTTCGAGACCATACGACCTCGTAAATAAACCCTTAAACCTAAGCAACTTCTTTCAAGTTGTGGTTAAGCTGCGGACGCTTGGGAGGATCTCGGGGCGTTCAGACTCTGCCACGCCCTGAAACACTCGAGTCCCTAGAGCCCATTTGGGGGTTTCCGAAAATAAGGGACCCTAATATAGTACCCTAAATAGTAGGATCCCTATTATAAGGATCCCAAAATATGGTACCCCTGTTTTCGGAAACCCCCATTTAGGGTCGGGGGCCCGGAATCTCCGAGCTTTAAGCAACTGCACCCTTCAGCAGGCATGTCCCAGAACATAACCTGCCAAGGGCAAGTACTTTGAGAACTTCAATGCAGCCGACAGCCTATGAGCACGGGGTTTTCGGATTCGGGGGCTTTTGAAGCATTTACTTGCATGGCTTTGAAGCTCTGGGGTTAGTCCTTTGGGCTTTAGACTTCAGAGTTCTACGAATTCACGGGGTGCGCCTCGGGGCTTCTGGGCGTCAAAGGTTCAGTTCTGGGCTTCGAGGGCAGCTTAGATGTTCATGTCGCGCTGGGGCCTGGGGTTCGCGCTTGTGGCTTTGGCATGTTAAAAAGATAGGCCCTGGGTTCAAGGTTGAAGGGTGCGGGATTTAGAAGGAGTAAGTCTTGCAGGCTTAGCTACTATTACTACGGCTTGAGGCTCATATTGACCCAACATAGCACACATGCATGGCCCCTTTCACTGCATCGGTCAGGCTTTTCTGTTGTTGTTTTTGGTTCTGGTTTGGGGCTGGTGTGGGCTTCTGGGGTTCGGGGTGAGCGGTTCAGCGCAGCATGCTGGAGTTGAACTCCAAATACTTTGCAAGTTCTACCTGTTTTTTTACATGCTGATAGAGCAGGTCATTAAGTGCTGACGCCTTCCAGATACTCCTGGCAGTCTTTCCTTCTTCCGGTGGTCTGCTTCTGCTGAGCTTCAAAAGTCAAGCCCTAAGAGCCTATTTACACCCGAGCCCATCTTTATCCCACGCCCTAAACCTCGAATCCCAAATACACCGAAACCCTACAAAGCTCAGGTGCCGAAGGAAGCTTTCGGAATGAAGCCTGGCTGCCCCTCAGCTCCCATAGACTTTGGGACTTGGTTTACGGGTTTAAGGGTTCAAGTCCTCAAGGATTTGGAGCTGTGGATTTCCGCTTCAGTTCCGTGTTTAAGTTTATTTGGGAGTTTCCGAAAATAAGGGGAACCCTAAGAAAGAACCCTAAATCGTAGGATCCTTACACTAAGGACCCCCAAAATTAGGTATCCCTATTTTCGGAAACTCCCATCTGGAGATCGCAGGGTAACACGGCCCCTCGAGGCTGGAGGTTGTCTGCTTTCTGGGTTCAGTCCCAAAAGCTCCCAAACGGTTTAGGGGTTTAGGGTTTCTTTAAGCCCTCGCACTCAGAACCACATGAACCCCCAAAGCCGAAAAGCTTAAGCCCCACTTACAGGATCCTGGGACTTAGGAACCAGGGTAACCAGGGTTAGGTATCATCTTGTGACAGTCTCCCAGTCAAGGTGTTGATGCACTTGCCTGCGAAACATCTTGGTCCTCGGAGCAAACGCCTACCTAAACTCCTAACCTTGCAGATCAGTCAGAAAAGGTGCCCAAGAAAAAATACTCCGAGCCTAAGCCCTAAACCCTAAAACAAGAGAGCTTCCTTTTTTGGGCGGTCCATTCCTCTTGCGGCCCTGCAAAGCCCTAAACCCTAAATCCTTAACCCTAATCCCTAAATCCTAAACCCCAAACCCTAAACCAAAAGGCTCGGGGCAGCCGCCAAACCAGTTGAAGGCCAAGCTTGACACAGCGTCGCTCGGCTGGGCTTTTGCTTCGGGGTTTTGGGTTCAGGGGTTTGCGGCTTAGGGGTTTAAGGGTTTAGGGTGCAGGGGTTTAGGGGTTTAGGGTGTGGGGGTTTAGGGTTTAGGGGGGTTTAGGGTGTAGGGGTTTAGGGGTTTAGGGTGTAGGGGTTTAGGGGTTTAGGGTTTACAACGGTTCTACAAGGGCTTGAGACGTGCTGTATACGGTCTCGATACGGGTTTAGGATTTCGGGTTTGCCGTTTTTGGAGGGCTTTGCCAATTGCAACGGCTCTTTTAGGATTTGAAGGTTGGGGGCTCGCCATTTTGAGGACTTTGTAGTGGTTCTATACGGGCTTAACAGTGGTAATTGTTCAGGGTTCTCGTAGGGCCTCCGAAAGGGCAGTATACAGGCTGTGCTTTCGTCTCAACTAGGTGCGTGTTTGGGGATCTTGAAATAAATCAAGGCTTTCGCTAGCAATGCTCGCTCGAGGTGCGTGCTTCTAACAAAATTGCGTGCTCGCTCGCTTGCGCAGCACGCCTCATGCCAACAAGCAGCCGGCGCAGACAAACGAGCGAGCACCCAAAAATGTTAGAAGCACCCCCCGAGCGAGCATGCAAAATCGACGCTGCTTTTGAGGCCTCAGACTCGCCGTAGAGGTGTTTAGGGTTTGGGGTTAGATTCCACAAAAATCCAATGCATGCTCGCTCGAGCTGCGTGCTTCTAACAAAACTGCGTGCCCGCTCGCTTGCGCAGCACGCCGCATGCAAACAAGCAGCCGGCGCAGACAAGCGAGCGAGCACCCAAAGATGTTAGAAGCACCCACCCCGAGCGAGCATGGTTAGTGCAAGCCTTGAATAAAGGATCCCACAGTGCAGGTCCCGTGTATCAGGTTCTTTCTGTTTCTGAAGTTGCTTTGTAAGGCTGGAGGCTTTAGGGCCGTTGCTTCGAAACGGGAGATTCCGAAAATAGGGGACCCTAATATGGTACCCTCAATAGTAGGATCCCTGTTATAAGGACTCCAAGTTAAGGTACCCTAATTTCCGGAAACCCCCAAAAGCTTCAGAGGCTCTGTCAGGCTTTTTAACCCGGGAGTCGAGCGACTGGGGAAAAGAACTGTGCACGCACGATATGGGAGTTTCCGAAAATTCGGGGTACCCCTTTTGGGGGTCCTTGTAATAAGGATCCTGCTGTTTAGAGTACTATACTAGGGTTTCGGAAAATCTCATGTACAATTTTGTAAAGCCTTCCTGAGCAGAAACGCTATCAGCACACTATCCACCCCTGCGGGACCTCCCAAAGATTCAGTATCCCCATGGAGTTTTGAGGGGTTATGAGGTTGAGGGTGTTGCATCAAGTTCTAGCACTTTGGGTCTGGCGTTGGTTCTCTGTTTTTTTTTCTGGTTGTGGATCCGGGGTTGAGGGTTTAGGCTTTAAGGTTTCGGGTTCCTGAAGATTTCGAAGTTTCCCCGTAGCACCAAGTGCCGACAACGTTCAGGGTTGGGAAGACAGACGGTCGAAATTGTGCGTGCGATTCGAAATCTTCGCTGCTTTCTACGTGGGTCCACCCTGATGATGTCATGTGATCCCAGCGCGCTTCTGATGCCATGATCGGGGCTTTCACCTCAACATGAAAACTGTGAAACTCAACCGTGATCCCAAGCCCCATCTTCCGGGGTCCAGTTCTTATGTTATCTTTACATCACGTATGTGCAAGCCCGTATACTCTAAGCCACGCACAAAGTGTTGCTTCGGACACAGCATCCCGAAGTAGGGGATAGTACTATACAGAGGGATACTTGAAAAGCCTTCCGTGATTGTAGACCCTAAACCATATACCCTAAACCCCTAAACCATCCTGGACCCTGCACACTAAACCGTAAAAACCCTAATCCCTAAAGGCCCTAAACCCAAAGGCCTTAAGCCCTATAAACCCTAAAGCACATCCTCGGTGTCTTGTATTCGAAGCCCCGGCCTTCGCAAGGATGTCCTTCATGGCCGACACAGGGAAGGCGGGGCCACTACTGTAGGGACCTTAATAATTACCTATACTATTTTGGTGTTTCCTTATTGTATTTATAGTATATCTGGCCCCAAAACCGTCTTCTAAATGATTAAGGCCCCGAAATTAGGTTAGGTGTAATATGCGGGTTTTAGTAACTACACTATGGGTTTGCGTATATGTTCTCACGCATATGCAGTGACTGTATATAGGAGGATATTTGATACTACACTCGTAGTTATTCAGATCTCGATATTCGGATATGGTGTCTTTAGGGTTTAGGGGTTTAGGGCTGAGGGCTTTGACCAGACTTGGCAGTTTCAGGTGCTGGTTAAGGCCTAAATCCGAAACCCGATGCTGCCACTGCTACTGCTTACTGCTACGGCTACGGCTGTCTCAGTTAATCCCGGAGGGCTTCACCTGTAGAAGGGCTTCTGGATACTAAGCAGGCCGGAAGGATCACGACTCAGGACAGCAGCTGTACCCATAGAGTTAATTACTACTTTGGCCTTAAAGTACCTATATAGGGAGTACTCGAAGGCCCAAATATATACTAATATCATTGGTGCATGGACCCTTAGGGAAACACGTCTGATCCCTAGCAATGGCACAGGCGCTCTTCCCCAGCTTTTGCGGCACGGAGGCATGGCAAAACAAGCCTTGTCCTCAATTCTTCAATTCTGCGGGCGGAACTCTCCAGGGCTTAGGGGTTTAGGGTTCAGGGCTGCAGGCTAAAGGATAAAGGGTCTGACGGAGGGAGGGAAAGAGACGCCTCATCTTACGTCCTCAAAGAGGGAACTTGAACCTTGGGTTATGCATTGTGTTTATCGAAAGTTTGAGCTTTTTGCAGTTTGGTCGTTCAAGGAGAGCTACTTGTACACAAGGGAAATTGAAACACAGGGTCAGATTCGGTTCATTGGATGCGTGTTGGGGCATCTCGGGCGTCGGTGCTGGGCTAGGGTAATATAGGGACCTTAATAATTTGAATAGGGTTTTGGGCCCTTTTATACTATAATTATAACAAGGAAGCCCCCAAACAGTATAGATAGTTATTTAGGCCCCTTTAGTAGGATGTTCGGGATTTCGGTATGGAGGATCTTCACCCTGCCGATCAGAACGACCTAAAGCTGCATGTAGACATCGCCACACTGTAGGTTTTCGGGTCTTTGGAGCAAGGCTCAAGGTTTAGGGATTTAGAGTCTAGGGCGAATGGTTATAGGAGCTCGAGTAAAGCGGTACATGCCGAGGTTACACAAAAAACATGTGCAGTCGCTCTGTTACGGTTAGATGGGCACGCTTCTTCTGGGGTACCGGGGGAATCTCCGAACATCAAACCCTGAACTCCGATGCACGGCCTAAACCCGAAACACCTGAACCTGACAGCCTAAGCCCAAAAGCGACACCCTAAACTCGAAACCAGTAACGCCAAGATACTAAACCCAACTCGTCGGAAACGGATCATGCATGGAGCTGTGCTTTGTCAATCCGAACGGAGCTTCAGGCATCGGAGGTCTAGCGCTGGGATAAGGTTGCAGGAATGAGGTTGTTCCGGGTCGGGTCGGGTCGGGGCTTCATGGTCTTAGGGTGTTGGGTGTAGGGGATTTAGGGATGAGGATTTTGGGTTTAGGTTCAGAGTTCTGGGGACCGGCAAGGTTCAGAGGCACCATGATGAAGCTGAATGCTTACCTCGCCGAAATGAGCTACTGGTGCCATTCGGACAAAGACTACATCGCGCCGGGAGTCCCAGCACTAGTTTTGCGGGTGAAAGTGAACGGTTGTGGGACTCGGGTCCGGAGTGTGCCACGAGGTGAGGCTGAGAAACGCTAAACTCTAAACCCTAAATCCTAAACCCTAAACCCCAACAGACCCCAAGCAGCTGAGCCTTATTGTAGGGGAGCCTGATGGGCTCAGTTCAAGCCAGCTCCATGCTAATCTTCCTACATAAAGACAAGCTTCAATCATGCAAACATGAGCCCAAAACCCTAAACCAACACGCCAAAACCCTAAAGCCAAAAGTCTGCCTTTTAAAGCTTGGCAAGGTAGGTCTTTTCAGGTTCAGGTAAGCCCTAGAGCCTGCGGAGGTTCACCCACAACAACCTGAACGTTGATAACGCCTACTTCTGGCGAGACGAGGTTCTGCAGCGTACTGGATCCGCTGACAGGGTTTAGGCTCAAAAACGGTAGCGATAACTCAGTGTAGTCCATGTAACGACTCTCGTAGTGTTAACAGGCGTTGCAGGATCAAGCGTTGATTAGGGAGTGTAAGGTGCTTGGAGTGGTTGAGGTTTGGAGTCTGTAAAGCCCATGACGGAGAACACACGCACACACACACACACACACACAATCACAACACTGCTAAATGCTAAAGCCCTAACCCACAGCACTGAATTCCCAAAACCCGAAACTCGAAAGCTCTAAATATGGAAACGCACATGCCTAAAGCCCTGAACCTCTAAAGGCCTAACCGCCTGGGGGCCTAAGCTTGCCCAAAGTCCCCGGTTGCAGAACCTTGGAGAACAGTATCAAGCCCATACAACACAAGCTTTCAGCCACAGTCACAGAGCCCATGTGAGACCCATTCACACGGCTTCTCGAAGGCTTCGACATGTTGTTCTGCAAGGTTCTGCAAGGGGGCCGTATGGAGTTTAGGTCTAGGGGTGTAGGGTGTGGGTTTAAGCGCTGTGTTTCAGCCGTTTTGTTCTGTCTATAGGGCATACCCAGACGTAAGCTCTTGGCCTTTAAACCCGCAAACCCTAAACCTTAAGCCTTAAACCCCCGAAACCCCCAAACCCCCAAACCTTAAATCGAAATCCACAGCTCTTAAAAAGATCAACAAGCCGCAAATCTGCGAAGACAGGCTGGACACTTGGATCTCGGCGTGTTCGACTGGGGAAGCATGGGCTCAAAGTCCTTGGGCTTTAAGACGCTTGTCTTCGAAACAGTCGAAGTTTTTCGAGGATGTTTTCTCTGTAGTATTGGGGGTGCGAGGGTTAATTTGGAGGAGTTGGTCTGATGTTTAGGGATTGTGATCTGGTGTTCGGGCCATAGGTCTCTACGCCGCAACAGGATGCAATAGGTAGTATGATAGAAATGATGGTCTAGTTGTGGAGCTAGCTGAGGAAATTCGTAGGTACGCCAAAGGTAGCCGTAGCGGATCCTTGAGGATGTCTCCATTCATCTGATGATGTGGGTTTTTCGCGTTTAGGATCTGCTCTGCCAGAACAAATGGCTGCCGGCCCGTGGGCTTGAGCATTGACGTGAGTTCTTTATATATATATATATATATATATATATGTGTGTGTATACATATATGTATATATACATATTATATGTTTGTATATTATATTATACTCTATTCTATTCTATTATATTATATTATATTATTATATTATATTATGATGCCAAGGCATGCCTGGGCCCACGTCTCAGAGGCTCCAGCTTTCCATCTAGGAGTAGAGGCCTAGATGAGATTGAAGCCTACCACCCAAAGCTCGAAAGCCCGAGCCCCACATAATTGTAGTATCCTTAAGGGAGGGGGGTCCAAGGGGGGTAGATAGCCTAGTGATCCCTAATTCTCCCTAGTACTCCCTAAGGTCCCCTTACAGTCCCCTAAGGATTCCTTATACCCTCCCCCCTTGAACCACCCTCCCTTAAGGATCCTATAAAAATACTTTCCTCAGATCTCAGGATGTGGTGGTGGCCGGAATCTCAGAGCGGCAAAGAGTTGGTCCCGATGTTTACTATCTTGAGTTTGGGGTTGGGCTTTCGGTCAGGGCTGAGGGCTTAGACCCTAAACCCTAAACCCTTAGGGCTTACATAGGCTAGCTTTATGAGAGACTCTTGGCATCCCGCAGGCCTTTGCTTCGGTCTTATTCATGAGAAACTCAAAGCCCCTAGCCGTCAGCCGCCATGCAAATATGGCGAAAGCGCGGTTCTATTCTATATACATCCATGCCATGTAGCGACTAACCCCCTGAGTCTAGTTTGAACTAATTCGGGGGTTAGGAGTGTAGGGCAGTATGGCTTAGAGCTTCGATCCAGGCTATGAGTGGACAAGAACCCCAGCTGTGAGGCTCTACTGTGGGGAGTTCGAGGAGATGTCTGCAAACATGGACAGGTGCCCGGAGGGAGGGACAGACACACTGTGGGTTTCAAGATACTCTATGCCTCGGCGGCTTTGGCAGATGGAGTTCAACATTTAGACGGTTTGGGTTTTGAGTGTTTAGGGTCTAGTGTGGAGCTTTCTGGCTAGTGGCTATTTGGGATGTAGACCTTGTAGGACTCAGCGTTGAGTCAAAGGTTTTCCTGGGCAGGGGCGGAGTTAAAAGCTTCGGATTGAGGGTTTAGGCTTTAGGGTAGAAAAGGTTTGTTGTCGAGCCTGTAGCATGGGTGGGAGCAGCACCATGGCAGCGGTGGCGAATGGAAATGAACACAACGCAACCTGCTGTCGAGGCTTGCAACGCTAGTAGCAAGAGACGCACAATACTGCGAGAACTAGTTAACTAGTTGTTATCGTTGCCACCATGACCATCAGCATCAGCATCACGGGCCTCTTTTGTCATGGCCACGGCCTTGATGAGCACCGGCAGCAGCAGAATCGCGGTTCTTACGGCGATCATCGCCATGAAACATGATGAACCAGGACCATGATTCCTCCTCAAGCGCCACTTCGGTATCTCTGCAATCATGGCTACATTTGTTTAAATTGTCAGGGTCATCATCGTGCCCATTCGCTCGTGGTCACAGTCATCCCAGCAGGCGGCATCTTTGTCATCATGTTTCCAATATAGGGGCCTTTTTTAATCTATTGACCAATATACTATTTTGGTGGTTCCTTATTAAATTGTAATTGTAGCATAATGCACCCCCCAAACCCTGTTCTAGTTAATATGGCACCTACATGAATCATCCTCATTGTCATGATCATCTTCTTCAGCAACAGTAGCACCATCATAAAGATCAAGTCAGGATCATGACAATCATCATCATCATCATCATCACCAGCACAAGGTTCTTCGTTCTTATCTTCGTCGTTCTGGCCGCCGCACATCGTACTAGTAATTGCTGATGTAACGAGTATGGCACCATAGCCATTGGTATTTCAGACCTACGTCACAAGCATGACATAACCACGATAAGCGAGAGCAATAATCGTTCAGCGTGCAACTATACTGGAGACTATATGAATGGCTGCCCAAACACTCTGAGAATGACTGCGGCCGTTCTTACTTTGCTCTTTCGATCAAGTACAAGTACTGATACTACCATTGAAAAGAAGATACAACTTGCAGCACATGTTCCTATGGAAGTGTCACCTGCATAAGGCCTGGGTAGGTTCGATCATGATCGTGGCTCCCCAAGCAGGTCCCATCTCTTTCACTCTGGTCCGACAGCCACAGCCCATGCAGGTATCTTGACTGCTGCGTGGAGTCACTCCAGGAATACGGTGGTCCTCGTTTGGACAAGGAGGCTCCATTTTCCTGAAGCCCCAATATGCGAGCCACGTCTAGTGCCATCGATGCCAAGTTCCCTTATAAAAACTATGTGGGAACTTTGGCGCAGCTCATACGGCGACACTGCTCGCCGCCCCTTGGCCCTGCCTGACCCCTGCGATCCCAACTGCCACCGCAAGTCTGCAGCTTCTCGTGTGGCTCCAACAGAGCAAAGATCCGTCACTTCTGGGAATTTTCGGTGCGTCTTGTCGTCATTCACTTACCTAGATTACAATACTCACCGCTTCCACCTTCCGAGAGATGCCATTTCACTTGCTCTGTTTCCCTCTGTAAAAAAAAGCTTCTTGTTTGTTGTTTGCTTTCCGGTGGTATGTTCGTCCTCATCAATCAATCCGCCTCGCGATGCTTGTTGTGTCATCAGGCATGCCCAGCACCTAATATACCGGTCGAAAGAAGCAAAATCGTCCCTCTATAGCTGTTCAAGCCCTGATTCTAATTATTCAGGCAATCTGAGACCCACATGTGTAGTTGTCAAAATGATGGTCTCTTTTTGGGTACCCTAAATAGTAGGTGCCGTATTATAATTGGGACCCAAACAAGAACCCTAGCCCTGACAACCACCCGCATATAGGCTTGCATGGTCTGGCCGGAGGTCCTGCGAATGCAATTCATTCTGACGGCTTTGTCACAGATGTTCGGCTTGGTGGCTGCGGTCGGGCAGATTTACAAGACGCTTGATCGCGTTTCCAGAGACTTTGATGGCTGCTTTTTGGTCTCCTGGCGAATTAGTGTTATCCCCATGTAGTCCTGGAAAAACGTACCATAACACATATATATATATATATATACACACACACTAGTTACTGCATGCCCATTGGCATTGTACGTTTAATGTAAGACGCCATGTGGAGCTTCCACGCATCCTTGGCTTGTGGAGGGCCTTGACACTGTCCCCAGCATACAAACGCTGATGAGAATCAGCTGAGCTGTTTCCGAGCACGAATCAATAATATGGTACGCGGCGTTCCTGTCAGGTAAAGGAAAACCATGGTTTCAGTATTGCTGCAGTAGCATGCTCTTCTCACTGGTAACCACCCAATCCTAGCTTTCAAGGTGGGTCGGATGGGGTTTACGGATTTATTACTAGTTATGCAACACCAAACCCGATGACTCTCAAGGCAGAACCAGCATGAATTTGTTAGCACTTCTGTCACCATAGGTCCAACCTAGCATAGAGGCATTGCTTGTCATTGTTGGCCTGCAGTTCGCAGGCACCTTTTGTTGAGCGAAGTCTTTTCAACTTATACTGCGATAGAGTAGACGGCCAACAAGGAAGCGCAAGTCAGCAGAACAAGCATCTCTCAAAGCTTGCATGTCTCGAGTGCGGGCCGCACAACGTGAAAGAAAGCACACAAGCATCTGGGCTAAGGATGTGCCCGAAGAAGGAGTGGCCCAGCATCAAGGACGCAATACATGGGAGAAATGATAGCGTTGTTGCAGAATTGCTTTGGGGGATCGATGGTGTCATGTCGGAGGCTGTAAGTAGGGTCATTTATGGTTGCCCTTTGCCCACGAAGTAGATTTTGTCGAAGGAGTTCAAGTTCGGGCGTGTATGTCCTTATACCCCTACAGACCTTATAGCACCCCTTGACGTAGGACTAGTGAGACAATATGTAAACTAGACCGGTTGACCTAACGCTCCTAAACATAAATGCGTGAACTATTCAAGAACACCGATAGAACCTTTTCAATCAAACAGCAAGAACATCTTCTAAATCGTACTCTCAAACTTAGTAACTTATGCAAGCCCTGAGCAGGACCGTTACGATCCCCGCGTCGGCGAGAACATCCATGGCAAGAGTACGCTGCGGCTCTATCTGCAGGCAAGGATTTCTACCCCTAGCCCTAAACCCTAAATCATAGGGAGGAGGACGCTGTGGACGCTTGTTTGTTCCACACGGGATCACAACATGAAACAGCCGAAGCTGAAAGAAACCATATCCGCCTCCGAAATCATACCCTATACCAACCCTAAGCTCTTCCTGAGTGTTCATGTCAGGCTTTAGGTTTTATTTACAGGGTTAGGATGGGTTAGGGTTTAGAGTTTTCATGTCAGTTTTAGAGTCTACGTTGTCAATCTGGCGGGATGTTGGAGTCTGCGAAGCGCCCTACAATGCCTTGACCTGTCTCGGACAAAGATCAGTAAAACTTTTTCACCCGCGGCCTGCTAGAAAACCCAAACTCCAAACAAACGGGCTGTATATTTCACTTTACCATCTTAAAGGCTTCAGGATTTGAGGATCTCTGATATTCTAAAAACTCTCAACTATACTGAACTTAGAACCCTAGCAAAAAATTGTAATTTTAGCTGTTTCTTAGGGATTATAATAACCAACAATTAAACACTATTTCTAAGTACCCCTAAGTCCACCCAACACCCCCTCAACATGAATCTGGTGACGGTTCAGCTCAGCAGCTCGAAAGAAACCCTTCCATTTGGGGTGTACCCATAGGCCCCAAAGTAGTTCCTTTTTGGGACTACCTTATAGGATTCTATATATGAACCCCCAAAAGGAACTACTTTGGGGCCCAACTTAAGACAGGTGGAGCTTTTGGTGAAGCTTTCAGAGTTGGCAGCTTTAGGTGCCTTTTGGCTCAGAGTGCACGCTGCTTTTCATGCAACCCAAGAAATGCCCGAAATCGTGACAGGCTGCAGGTAGCAGGGTTACTAAGGCTATTTTAGACGGCATTATGAAGGTCACTATAGAGGGTTACTAAGGTTACTAATTATAGAGGATTATTACGGGCGAGACCCGAAACCCTAAAATAATGGCACATGCCACCCTGGATTTTGCTTGCAGCCGCCCTGAGAAGGGAAAAGCCGTGGCTCATCGTTCGTCTGATCTTTCTCCAGCAGCTAATGGCTCTGATAGGGTCGTAGGTTTGGGGCTCGTACATCTAGAGCCCTAGGCCCTAGACCCCAAAATGCAAAAAGGACAACCTAAATAATGTAGATCCCCTTAAAGGAGCCCTTATAGATACCTTTAAAGGAACCCTTATAGAACCCTAAGCCCCTCAAAACCCTAACCCCTAGACCCTAAAAGGGCTCACAGGATGCGGCTGATACTCGACTAGAAGGTCGGTTTGTAGCCTTTGCGGGGCTCCTGTCGGACTGACATGAGCTCCTTTTCTGAGACTTCTGAGGTTATAGCATGGGGAGCCTGGATAGTTCGTATGGCTTAGATAGGGATTTCTGATTATTTCTGCCAGAATAAATAGAGACCCAAACCCAATTGCATGTGTTTCGGCCAGTATAGTACCTGTCGCAATGAAGGTGATGCGAACCATCTGCCTGATCATAGAGGAGTGGAAGGCCAGTTGCGGCGAGAAGGGTTTCAAAGTTTAGGTTTTGGGTTGTTAACGGCTTAAGTGCTTGTCAGTTGATCATGCGGGGGTCAGGCTTGCAGGGTCTATCCTGAACCCTAAACCCCAAAGCCATGCAGACTTTTATACCTTCCCTCCGACCGTACTGAGACAGCGTGTGGTTCTCGAGACCCCATGCAGCAGTGAGGTTCTCAGAAGCATCGCGTTCTTTGGTAAGTATGGCTAAAATGATCGATTTCGAGGCCCATCTTTTGTGCTACCAAGCCTTACACCCCTAAACCCCTCAGCCCTGAACCTTCAACCCCGAAACCGAAAACCCCAAATGCTTATGGGGACCATCTTAGGGTCTCCGAAGCCCTAAATTCTACCTAGCTCCGTTAAGCCCTCTCTGTCCCATTTATCAGAGGATAGAGGTCAAGAGGTCGAAAGCCTGAATGTTCTTTGGTTTTCGTTGGGGTTTAGGTTTTCGGGTTTCGGGTTTAGGGTTTAGTGTTGTGTGTTTAGGCGTACGGTTTCAGATTGCTGTAGTTGAGGCTTCAGCATGGTTGCGTTGCAGGATTGTCTGATGTGTGGCTGCTAGGTGTCGACTCATAGGTTTCCAACAGGCTGAGAACCCCAAAGAAACCTAATCTCGAAGCCCAAAGGCCACAGAGACCTTGATCCCTGAACCCTACGTCAGTGTTGTTCTGCTCTTTTCGGGCGTGTCAAAAGTTGACCGTCTCTCCTGGCCTCCTGGCCTTCTTAGGAGTTGCTCACTGCTGCCTCTTGGGAAAAAGGAGCTCAAAAGAATACGTCAATGTCCTAGGTCCTAGCCGAATTTGACCGGAAGTTGGGGGTACCTCATTTTTACGGCCCTCCGAGCTATAATGAGCCCTAGACCTTGAACCCCTTAGCATGCAGCCGTCCACAGGCTGACAAGGTGGTGGATGAGTTCGAAGCAAAGGCTGGGAAGGGTTTAGGCAGTGTGTGTGTGTGTACATTGTGTGTGTGCGTGTATATGTATATGTTTTGATATATATATATATATATATGTGTGTGTATACATATATATATATATAGGTATGTCTATAAATAGGGTAATTCATCGGGATTGGAGGGTTTCGGGGTTCACGGTGAGCGTCTGGGGTTCTAGAGCTTTGGACCCGAATCCGCCAGGAGAACCCGCAAGTCGATAAAGCTTAGGCTCATAATTCCTCAGAGATACTTCGGTTGATGATATAAATCCTGCATTACCTTAAGGATCCTAAACTATGGGAATTATGGTATATTCCTTCTTATGGGCAATGCAGGATTTATATCATCAACCGTTAGAGATATGGTTTAGTTTTTGGGTTATCATAATCCGTCAGAGACAGCTAAAATTACAATTCTTGCTAGGGTTCTAAGTTCAGTATAGATTCATCTCAAACCAACGCTGAAGCCGGGTCAAGTGTCGAAACGCCGTTACGGCTTTCGGGCCCTTCGCTTGGTGCAGAACACCTTATGATAAAAAATCCTACTGCTTAAGGTCTGTATCAGGGTCCCCGTTTCTGAAGCCCCCTCAGAATTGCAGAAGACAAAGCGTAGAAGTTTTCGTTGCTGTGTCCAGGGTTTCTTAGGAAGGATCAGAATTGCATGTGTACTGTGTTTTCCCCTATGGGAAGGGGTACTGGACGGTAGTTGCCTTGGTGGTCAGCCGAGCTACTGGGATCCTCCTAAACCCCTCAACCCCAAACCCCTAAACCCTACACACCTAAACCCCTAAACCCCTAAACCCCAAAGCAAGGAAACCCTAAACGGAAGGCGACCAGCACCTTCTGCCAGAAGAAAGACCCCTCAACTATGACGGCATGAGCAACAGGCGCCCCTCCGGATGAGGATTGACTTATGGGTTTGGGGTTTGGGTTTGTTGTTTTTGCTTTGGGGGGGGGGGGGGGGGGGTTTAGGGGAAAGTGTAGTGTCGTATTTCGAAGTGGAATAAGATGTAGTACCGTATGATAAAAAGAAATCATGCGTAGCATTTTCACAAGATTGGCGTTTTCCAGGATCTGTAACTACCACCACTCTTAAACGAGATCCGGCTCAGCGTGCATGGTTTGATGCGCTTAGCGGTATTTGTATAGGTAGAACTTACCCAAAAACCCTGCTGGATGTTTGCTTCCAATACGTTAAGCTTTTCTGGTTCGCCGGCGCGCAGTGCTGGTTGTTGGCTTCAGTGTAGTTTGGCCGTTTGCCCAGGTGTTGAGTGCGTCTAACTTACATCGCTCGTGGCTGCTAGGCTGCTTGTTGCTTGTAGGAGTCTGTTCATCGTCGCTGTTGCTTTCCGCGAGAGTGCAGTGTTATGATGCGGTATTGAGGCTTCCCTACCCGCATCAACTCTAAACCACACAGAACCTAAAACCCTGATAAGATTCAGAGAGTTCAAGATTGTTGGGTTTACGGCTCGCAGTGTTCGAAAAGTGTACTGCTAAAAGACCCCCCCGCCGGGAAGTCAGAACCACAAGTCGTGGCTGGAATCCGAAAACTTGCTTACTCTCCCGCACCAGAAGCTAAACGATCCAAAGGCCCGTTGAACTTATCCAACCCACTGGGGTGCTGCTAAACATTGACTCACCATGTAGATCTACACCTTCAGACTAAAAAGCACCAAAGGCCGAAATCCCGAAATCCATGACTCTTGGCAGCCCTTATGAAACTCTCGGAACCCCGTGTAGTTTGAAGAGCTACCCACGACCCCCTTGGCTGGCAGGGCTTGGGACAACTTTGGTGACACCTCTCTTTTCCAACGGCGGTAATCGCCACTTCTCGCAAGCCACTGGCATGATTCTTCCTTCCGCTTGCAGAGTTTCTCAAGCTTAAATTTGGGCCCTTATAATCCCAATACGCCTATATTAACTCTATATGTACCCCCGACAAATGAGCCTCCTCCAGTGACTTTTTTCGGGCAAAGCCATGGGTTTCGAGCGTACTGGAAGTCCTCGGTAGGGTTTCGAAGGCTGTTGATGCGAGAGCCCGAACCCCTGAACTGTCAAGGTGACAACGAAGAGCAATCGAAAGAAGCCCTGCCTTGACTGGGTGGCAAGGGTAAGCAAGCTGACGCTGCCATCCGGTCCCACAGAACGAAGATCAACTGCATCTGCACTGAGACTTCGGGGATTGAAGGGCTCAGATTGCAGAGCTCAACCGCAAGTCACTGACCACCCTAAGCCCTAAGCCGACCATACTCTGGTACTCTCAAGACCTATGGCCAGGCCCTTATCCATTCATCTATCCGACCGCATGTGCCCTGACGAATCTGTCAGGCTTCTTTTGCAAGTCCGGACGCCTGTAGCGGCGCCTGTTCTGTCTTCCTTCCACCGATGCGAACTAGCTCGGAAGCCTCTTTCTGCCCAGGATGTCAGAGCGGTTTATGGTTCAGTGTTTATGGTTGAGGGTTCAGTCTTTTGCCTTGATGAGTTCTTTCCGATTCTTTCCTTCCTTTAGAAGGCGACCTGTCAATCTCGAAGAGAGGCGAGGCTGCAGTAGCAGATTCAGCCTCCCCTGCGTGGGCAGCATGGAGGGAAAGCAATTTTGAGCACCCTGCCTTGGAAGGTGCATGGGGCACGTAGCTGCAGTGATCCCGTGGACTTGGACAGCCCCTACGTCATTAACCCCAAACCCGAAGCCCTAAATCATCTTCAGCTTTATCTACACATCTCAAATCTCACGGTCCCGGCCGTCCCGGCCTGCAGCACGTCCCATGAGTCTTCCCTTCGGATCTTCGGATCGCAGCCCCTCATCGTGACAAAGAGGCTAGAGCTCAGGGTTTATCATGGTTTAGGGTTGAGGGTTGGGAAGAGACACAGGATGGGTTTAGGGTTGAGGGTGTTGTATTGGATATCTACTCTATTTTCTATATATCTTTCCGCGGGATTTTATCATATAGTATCTCTCATTCTC